GGAGGCAATGTGCCTCTGAATGTGAGTTGATGGGAATCGTGTGGGGTGGGGAGTGCTGCTGTTGTGATCAGGTCCTCTTTGGGGCTTCCCATTGAGGCATCTGGTTGGCCACTGTGAGAACAGGATGTTGCATTCGATGGGCCATTGGTCTGATCCAGCAGAGCTCTTTTTAGGTTCTTATGCAATTTACCTTTCCCAGGTTACTGGGGGTATTTGCAAGTGTGTGTGTGTGTATGTCCTGCTATGGGTGTGAGGTGTAACGCAATCGCTATGGATGATTGATGAAATTGTGGATGGTTGATGAAGGTTGCAGCCAGTGGGGCCCCTGATGCAGCTCACAGATGGCACTTTGCCAAGCCCCCCCTCAAACCTGTAGATGACCCTAATTTTGGGGGCAACTCTGAGATTCTTTGAGTTCCTTGAGCCATCCCCCGCCTGCTGCCTTGGGATCTGCTCAGCTCCTTCCTCTGCATATGACACCAGCACAAAACACACACACACACACACACACACACACACACACACCTATGGATTTCAGCTGGGTTACCATTCTGATGGTGTCCTAGTTCCCATTTTCCCTTCATCCTTGTGGAATTCCATAGCCAAGCACATCACAGGACTGTGGGGATGGTGCTGTTGGGGTCTATGGGCAAACATCCACATATTTTGTAGTCACTTGTGACATTTGGAGGCACATCAGCAGGCAGGCTTGCAAGATTCACGACTGTGCTCCAGAGAGAATTTATGTATCTCCACATTGCAAGCCACAAATGCATAAGTCTCCCTCTGTTGTTGCTGCTTTTGACAAGGCTGTGTTCTGCCCCCTCCTGCCTTGGTGGCTGGCTTGTCACAGCATGTGTGTTTTCGAGGGTCTGCTTCTTCTTTCCCTTTAAAGTAAAATAAAAAATGACCCTCTTCTCTATTTGATGTACATGAGTAATTCCAATTAATTTTAATGTGCACTCATCAAGTGAAGAATGACCAGCCTACAGCAAAACACTGTTGCTCAATGGAATTGGGTTTCTGCCCATGTCCTTTGCGTCATGGATTCAAATTGTGATTGAACCAGCAGCTCCTGGAACCGTGACTTTGATTCTTGGTTGCCTGGATGTTCTTCTTTTAGCTTTGGAGTATGGGAAGCAATAATAAAGATATCATTTCTAGGATTCAGACACGAGGAGAGGATATATTGTTTAGGTATTGTCCTTCCATGCTCATGTCTGTGAGATCAACAGAGTGCCATCCTTTGAAGTTTAAATTTGGAAGCTAAGACAAGGTTTATTTAACCTTCTACCGCAACAATCCAGGGTCCTTTAAGTCAGACTGGATTTTCCTGGTATTACCCCCTTTCTCCCCCTTAAAAACAATAATGACACAAACATGGTTATATAAAAAAATAAAAAGTTTTCGATTACATATTGCAGGTCTTGAATCATAGGATCATAGAATCATAGAGTTGGAAGAGACCACAAGGGCCATCGAGTCCAACCCCCTGCCAAGCAGGAAACACCATCAGAGCACTCCTGACATATGGTTGTCAAGCCTCTGCTTAAAGACCTCCAAAGAAGGAGACTCCACCACACTCCTTGGCAGCAAATTCCACTGTCGAACAGCTCTTACTGTCAGGAAGTTCTTCCTAATGTTTAGGTGGAATCTTCTTTCTTGTAGTTTGGATCCATTGCTCCGTGTCCGCTTCTCTGGAGCAGCAGAAAACAACCTTTCTCCCTCCTCTATGTGACATCCTTTTAGATATTTGAACATGGCTATCATATCACCCCTTAACCTCCTCTTCTCCAGGCTAAACATGCTCAGCTCCCTTAGCCGTTCCTCATAAGGCATCGTTTCCAGGCCTTTGACCATTTTGGTTGCCCTCCTCTGGACACGTTCCAGTTTGTCAGTGTCCTTCTTGAACTGTGGTGCCCAGAACTGGACACAGTACTCCAGGTGAGGTCTGACCAGAGCAGAATACAGTGGCACTATTACTTCCCTTGATCTAGATGCTATACTCCTATTGATGCAGCCCAGAATTGCATTGGCTTTTTAGCTGCCGCGTCACACTGTTGGCTCATGTCAAGTTTGTGGTCAACCAAGACTCCTAGATCCTTTTCACATGTACTGCTCTCAAGCCAGGTGTCACCCATCTTGTATTTGTGCCTCTCATTTTTTTTGCCCAAGTGCAATACTTTACATTTCTCCCTGTTAAAATTCATCTTGTTTGTTTTTGCCCAGTTCTCTAATCTGACTTTGCCTGTTCTCCAGGAATTCTCAAAGATGACTGCCAGTGGTTCTGAGATCACATCTGCCAGTTCTTTTAATACTCTTGGATGCAGTTCATCTGGCCCTGGAGACTTGAATACATCTAAACTAGCCAAGTATTCTTGTACTATCTCCTTAGTTATTCTGGGCTGTGTTTCCTTTGCTGAATCATTTGCTTCAAATTCTTCAGGTCGGGCATTGTTTTCTTTATCGGAGAAGATTGAGGCAAAGAAGGCATTGAGGAGTTCAGCCCTTTCTGTGTCCCCTGTTTGCATTTCACCATCTTCTCCTCTGAGTGACCCCACTGTTTCTTTGTTCTTCTTTTTGCTACGAACATACCCATAAAAGCCTTTTTTGTTGCTATTAACCTCTCTAGCAAGCCTGAGTTCATTCTGTACTTTAGCTTTTCTGATTTGTGTCTACATGTGCTGGCTATTTGTTTGAATTCCTCTTTGGTGGTTTCCCCCCTTTTCCATTTTTTGTACATATCCTTTTTAAATCTTAACTCAGTTAAAAGTTCTTTAGATAGCCACCCTGGCTTCTTTAGGCACCTTCCATGTTTCCGTCTCATTGGTATTGCCTGACGTTGTGCTTTTACTATCTCCCTCTTAACAAACTCCCAGCCATCATGAACTCCCTTTCCTTTTAGTATTACTGTCCATGGGATCTCACCCAGCAATTCCCTAAGTTTTATGAAGTCAGCTTTCTTAAAGTCAAGAAATTGAGTCCTAGTATGCTTGGCTGCTCCTTTCCGCTGTATAGTAAACTTCAGAAGAGCATGATCACTCGCGCCTAATGATCCTTCCACTTCTACCCCACTAACCAGGTCATCAACATTGGTTAGGACCAGATCTAAAATGGCTGTTCCTCTTGTTGCTTCTCCCACTTTCTGGACAATGAAGTTGTCTGCAAGGCCAGTGAGTAGCAGTTTACAGCAGCAAAATGAAGGCAGATTTAAAATTACTATCTAAGTTACAAAAGTACAAAATGTAAGTTCAAAAATGCTGTCCGAGCTGCAGAGGTCAGACATGCACACGTGGTCAGCTTGCCAACATTATGAAGAAAGATGCAATCAGGATGTCTGTAGTGTTACAGCTTCCTGCCAAGGCAGACAAAGGAAATGATCTCACAGAGTTCTCTCTAGCAAATTTTACAAGAAAGCTCTATGAATCTCAGTCTTTTCATGTGCCCATCTGCCAAAGCAGGAATTGTTGGTTTGACTGCACAAATGTCCTTCAACTAGCCCCTCCCATAAAACCCCCACCAGAGCAAGCAGGGTGTCCTTTCTAACTAGTAGCCACCAGTCATCAAAAGCCATTGACAAAGTGTATACAGTGGTAGCTCGGGTTAAGTACTTAATTTGTTCTGGAGGTCCGTTCTTAACCTGAAACTGTTCTTAGCCTGAAGCACCACTTTAGCTAATGGGGCCTCCTGCTGCCGCTGCGCCGCACAATTTCTGTTCTCATCCTGAAGCAAAGATCTTAACCCGAGGTAATATTTCTGGGTTAGCGGAGTCTGTAACCTGAAGCGTATGTAACCTGAAGTGTTTGTAACCCGAGGCACCACTGTAGCTACAGAGCTTGGGGTGGTTTAGGCATTCACTTGACACCACCAAAACATCTTTCTCGTAAAACAAGCACTGTGTTTCTTGCCTGCCCAAACAATGGACATTTTTCTAACATACCTCTTGAAAAGAGCAAGTGTTTTTTAAGTCCTTACTTAGAGGCATATGAAAGAATGCAAAATGTATTTTATTCAGCACCAGGTGGGGACCAATTAGAAGAGTTCCTCTTCTTCACACACCAAAGTCAAGTTTTAAAGGTAACAAATTTGGTTTCATTTAAAGCCTAGCTTGCAAATTTGAGTCCCTGGATCACTCTCCCCAGAGATGGAGACTGCATACATTTCAAGCTCTCTTCCTCTCCTGGCCTTTCCCCAGTGGCACCCCCCTTCGCCCACTGACGCCACTGTCTGAGTTGTGAGAATCTCTGATCGCCAGAAGGGCTGCTCTTAATCAGGCCCTCCATCTGCTCCCAGGCTAGTGTGCCAATTAGAGGCAGACCTGCACGTCCAAAATGAAAGGTGCACTTTCGTGATTAGCGGAAAGAGCATGGCTGGAAGGTGGATTCTATCCTGCCCAAAGCACCACTTAAAATATATTGAAGTTGGGTGAAAATACAAAAGAACTGGCTGGGGAAGTCCAGCGCTCTCCTCTTCACCTCTCAGATGGCCAACAGATGGTGCCCTAAGGGAGAGCAGTGCTCTCAGTTTGGCGCCACGAACGTTAACATTTGCTAAAGGAGAACTAAAAAAGGAGGGAGAAAATTGGCTGGTTACCTCTAAACTCTGTTCTGAAGTCATCTGAGGAGCTTGGGGAGAGGCTGGTTGTTGTGCCTTTCTGCAAGGGGGGGGGCACTGAATATGCCCAGGGGAAATTTGCCTCTTCAATAAGTGGAATTTGGGGGTAATTAAATGCCCCCCCAGCCACCCAGCATTGTCAGGTTACAGCTGCTGCCAATCCGCAGGGCCCACCTGAAGGCATTCTGTCCAGGACCCCCTCAAATCTGGGGCTGGCTGTGGGTGGAGAAAGTTCTCCTGCATCTTTACCTGGTTGACAAGAAGTGATGCCATTGTTAAAGTGTTAAGTTGTGGGTGAACATATCAGACGACACAGCGATTCTTCAAACAGCTCTTGTTTATTCACAGGCCAGAACAGAACTGAACTGAAGGGTTCAGCCAGCCTGCTTATATAGAACTCCACTAGAACACAACAGTAGCCATTTTCTGTAACTATCCAATCACTGAACGTCACTTTCAATCCCTTATTTGCATATGTGGACCTCAGTGAAAACTATCTACAGTATCCCCCTGCTGGCCCAGGGTGAGAACTTCAGTACATAACATAAACATCTGCACTGTCTGCCTATCTACTACTGAGCTAGGTTCAAGGTCGGGGTCGGCCCATCCCATTTCACCACCTGAGGCAAAATGGAAATGTGCTGCCTCCTGCCCCGCTGCTTGCCCCACCACTTCTGCCACTGGCTAAATGCCCCTCGCTCTTGCTGAACTTGGCAGGAGAAGGGGGCATTCTGTAAGGCCTCGCCGCTTGTCTTCTCTACCCCAGCGGTGGGGAAGATGAGCAGAACAGCCATGCCACATGACAGAACGTCTCCCTCTCGCCAAACTTGGCAAGAGCAGAGGGAGTTCTGGAAGGCCTCACCACTTGTCTTCTCCACTCCAGGGACAGGAAAGCTGAGCAGTGACATCATGTGCTGGAACGCCTCCCTCTTGCTGAAACTTGGTGAGAGGTGGGTGTTCCACCAGTGGTGGATGTGGTGGTGAGGGCAAGGCAAACCTCTTGCGTTTCCACTGCTGGAGTCGGCTGCTTTGAATTTATTTACAAAGCCCCAACAACTTAGGTCCAGGGTGCCTCAGGAACCACCCAAACCCTTATATCCCAGCTCAGTCTCCAATATCATCTGCAGGAGCATCATAGGCTGTTGCCCGTGGTGGCAAGGCTCTTTTGACAGCAACAGGGAGCCGAGCCTTTAGAGTCCTTGGCCAAGTCCTGTGGAACTCTGCCAACAGAGATGCAGCAGGTGCCTTCTGTGGCAACTTTTAAACACTTGCTGAAGTAGGGTTCTCCATATTTCAAAAAGTGAAAATCAAGACACAAAAGTTGCCATACATCCGGATTTTCCCAGACATTTAAGCGATTTCCACCTGAACACTCTTTCCGATGACCAAATCTTGGCTATGTCTGGGAAATTCTGGACGTATCACAACCCTGTGCTGAAAACATTTCTGTTTCTTCAGGCTTATACACACAATTCAAAATTACATCTTACAATATTAGCACATTTCCAATTTTAACTTTTTAATATAGTTTTTATTGTATGGTTTTATGTGCAATTGTTGTAAACTGTTCTTTTTTCAATGAATGGGGTATATACTGTAGGTATTTTTATAAATAAAATATTAAAGGGGGGGGAGGAACTGCTCAGGCTGTCTGCCCTGCTGAGCCCCAACTTGTCAGATCTGGGATTCTTCAGGTTTGTGTGTTTTTTCTTCTCTATTCCAGGAAGAGGACTGAAGTGAAACCTACAACGTCAGGGACCGTTTTCTTTTGAAGCTGCCTTGCTTGTTCACCTCTCTTTCTTCAAACAGGAAAAGATCTGAGAGACCTAGAGAGACAAGGGCCCGTGCTCCACTTGCTCCAGGTGGAAAGGCAGGGCTCCCTTTTTTCTGATAACAGGGGTTCTGTTTCAGGAAAAGATTAATAACAGTTTGTACCGCAAGTACAAGCCAGGCAGGGCTGGCTGCAAAAGTGACGTCTTTGCAGATGAGGTGTTTGAAAGCGCCTTTCAAAGAAGATAAATAAAGAGGCAGGAAAGAGCTTGAAATCAAGCAGTGTTTGAGGGCTGTTTTGATGGTGCCACTTCAGAGGCAAAACATTTAGGAGAGCAAACCCCAAATCTCAGCCCAGAGAGGAGGAAGGACAAAGGCATCTGAGGACAAAGCCTTGAAACAAAAGCCCAAGTCTGAATAGCAAATTTGAAATGAAGTTGGAATTTGTAAAATGTGCAAAGCGGCTGGAGAATCTGGAGCCAGGCAATGAAAAGGGGCTTCTACAAAAATTCAGGAGGGAGCAAATCATGTCTGGTTGGGTTTTATGGTTCAAGGCATCAGTGAATGCTTAGATGTAGGGGGGGAAAGACATAGCTTGCTACAGCATACATAATTTGTGACAAAAAAAGCACTGCGCATATACAGCAAATATTCTGTGACAGAAAAAATGGACCCATCCGCACTACACATTTAAAGCAGCATCACAGCACTTCAAAAACTTCACGGCTTTCCTCAAAGGATGTTTGGAACTGTAGTTTGTTAAGGGTTAGGGTTGTGGCAGAATTATAGTTCTGCAAAGTCTCCAGAGAAGTCCCAGCACTCTTACCAAATTACACCTCCCAGGATTCTTTGGGGGGTGCCAACCCTTATGTCAAATTTAAACATTGCCCAGCAATTAATTGCCAATCAGAAGGTCGGCGGTTCAAATCCCCGTGACGGGGTGAGCTCCTGTTGCTCGGTCCCTGCTCCTGCCAACCTAGCAGTTCGAAAGCAAGTCAAAGTGCAAGTAGATAAATAGGTACCGCTCCGGTGGGAAGGTAAACGGCGTTTCCGTGCTCTGCTCTGGTTCGCCAGAAGTGGCTTAGTCATGCTGGCCACATGACCTGGAAGCCGTACGCCAGCTCCCTCGTCCAGTAAAGCGAGATGAGCACCGCAACCCCAGAGTCGGCCATGACTGGACCTAATGGTCAGGGGTCCGTTTACCTTTACCTTTACAGCAATTAATTGACAAAGTCTAAAATACTTCCCCCTCACCCTAGATTCTCGGGACTGCCAAAAAGAAAAACCCTATGTGTCACAAAACTGTACAGGCAACTCTCAATTTACATGGGGTTTATGTTTGAAGGCACTGCACATTTAAATTGCGTATATTTTAAACACCATTGAAAAAACCAGCAAACGCCATGTTCTGCCCCCACTCTGCCCCTTTTGGGGTTTTTTTTGTAATAACATTTTATTCTTTTTTTCATATAGAAAGTTATATTTGTTACAATTATATTCTGATTCAACAAAACTAGTGATTTTCTGCTCACCCACCATCCATGTTTATAACTCAAATTACATACAATTGCGTTTTAAGGTTTTGTCTTATCTAATTTCATCCTTTCTAACATGTTTCTTAATATACCCTGCTGCTTCGTTACACTTCAAACCATGCTGTGGTCCCTGCACGTGGGAATCAACTTTTTGTCGCATTTTTGGGTCACTTCCGGTTCAGAGCGAATCACACATGCGCAGTCGCACACATATCAGATGCGCCTAAAAGAATTGCTGTCTCTATCAGCTTCACCATACCTCACAACTGACCCATTTTAACTGGAACAGAATTGACAGAAGCCATTCCTGGCTTCTAATTGCATCTTGGAATGTCCTGGACATTTGTGCTGGGCCTGGGGGTAACCCGTGAAACGCGGTCCAGGACTGGACCAGAATCCAGAGGTTCTGCTAAGAGGTCCGACAGGGCCAAGGCAGGACACGAGGCAGGAACTCAGGCAAGGACAGGCACAGGATCTAGCCTACAGCAACGTTGCTCCTGCAACCTGGGGCGGGGTCCGACAGCCTTTTATCTTTGTCAGGGTAGCGGCCGGTCCTGATCCCCCGGCGACTCACCTCCTTGTCTCGCCCTAAGGCGAACACTCCTCCTGCGAGTACTCAGGTCTCTCCTCTCAGACCTCAGTCTCTGCAGCTCAGGAGACGTCAGTGGGTTACTAGAACACCGGTAGTGGAGCAGCTGTAAGTGATGGCTCAGCTGAAGGCAGTAAGGTAATCCCCGCATCTGGAGCCAGGGCAGGCTCAGGCCCCTGACTCGGCCCAGCTGGTGCTTGTTGCAGGGAAAACTGTGCAGACTGGAACTCTTCAGGATCAGGCCCCAGAGTTGGTTCAGATGATGCCTGAGGCAAAGGATCCGGTGCAGACTGAGACTCCTCTGGTTCCATGTCCGAGCCCAAGTCCCAAGCCACCACAACATTGCCAATAGGAACAAAGATTTTCCTCTCCTCACCTCTGGTGAACATGCTGCTCCCCCTTCCACTTTCCCTCTCTATGGCTGCTAGGGCTGCTGTGGGCGGGGAGCCGGGTTGCGGTGATGACAGCAGGTATGTGGTTGAGGTGGGCAGCGATAGCGGCTGTGAGGGGGGTGGCGGAGGAGCCTTTACACTCAGGAAGGCTTGGGAAGAAGCCTGGGAATGTAGGAGGGCAGCAGGCAGATGTTGGAGCCAGAACGTGAAAGTGAGGAAAGTGGGAAGGGCGACCATTTTGTGTGGGTGACTGGGGCATTCACGAGAGAGGGGAGTAGAGCTGAGTGTGTTTAGCCTGGAAAAGAGGAGACTGAGAGGGAGAAATGAGAGCCATCTTCAAATATCTCAAGGGCTGTCACGTGGAACAGGGAACATGCTTGTTTTTTCCTGCTCTGGAGAGTAGGACTCAAACCAAAGGCTTTAAGTTACAAGAAAGGAGATTCCGACCAAACATATGGAAAAACTTTCTGACAGTAAGAGCTGTTTGACGGTGGAACAGACTCCCACAAGAGGTTGTGGATTCTCCTTCCTTAGAGGTTTGTAAGCAGAGGTCGGATGGCCATCTTTCATGGATGCTTTAGCTGAGATTCCCACATTGCAGGGGGTCCCTTCCAACTATAAGATTCTATGATTCTATATGAAGATAATTTTGCATGGCAAAATATCTGAGTCTTCATAGTTTAACATTTTCAAGCTTCTGCCTCCTTTTCCTCCCGTAACTCTCTCTCTCTCCCCCTCCCTCTCTCTCTGTGTGTCTCTGTGTGTGTTTGTGTGCAAGCTCTGTTACAATGTTATTATGGTGGCTACTATTTAGATAAAAGGTTCTATACACTTGAGACTTGGGGAATGTGAAATTCCTCTCCACACGCTGAATGCAGATTTAGCATCAGCTCTTCCCTTGCAAGTTTCCCTGATTTGGGGAAGAAACAGGCAGAAATTTCATAGCACATTTGCCTTTGACATGAAGCCTGTTTTAGGCCTAATGGGATCTTAAGGGCTTCTTACGTTGAATTATCTTTTCACTTGAAAACTTGGTGTGTGGCTGTGCTGAAACAATCTTTCTTGGATATAGTGCCAGATGTAGGGTGCTATGGACGGTTCCCTTGCACAGGGCACCAAGCCAAAGCGGTGCAAAATTGTGAAGATTCATAATTGAGAAGATCCATTTGGGGGCGCTGAATTTTGGTCTGACATGGGGTGCCATGTTACGAAAGATGATCAAAGTCCGCCCTTGGTGGGATATTGTTGTCATATAAATGGACCAAATGTGGACATTTCTGGCACTGAGGCAAAGAACTAAATCAGGTGAGCAACTTGTGACCCTTCTGATGTTGTTGGACTACATCTCCCATCAGCCTCAGCATACTGATGACACTTCACTCCAATCCCCGCATGGGGATTCCTGGGTTGTCTATCTCCCAAAGCTTGTCTCTCCTGGGTCCTCTTCCCATGTCTCAGCCTGCCATACAAAGCTATTCCTGTTTTTAGGACCTCTTTAATCTCATCCAAACAGACGGCTTCCCTTCTCTCACAGGAAAAGAACAGCAAACACCCTTGGTGTTTAATTGCCTGAACAGGTGGAATGTTGATGCCCATTCTTTGCCATTGCACTAGCTCAGCTGCTCCACATCAGTAGGTTCATTGCCACCAGCACCATACAATATAGATAAGCTGGCATAAAGTAAAAAGTTATTGCCTTGGCTCTTCTGGCAGATCAAAGGTATGCAAATGTGGTCTAAGGTGCCTTTAATGTTTTTGGCATGCACATCAGTCACTCATCTGTATGGCGAGCTCACTTGAAAAAGAGCTCCCTGCTTCAGGCTGGCCTCCCAGGGTGGCAAGTCATAGCCGTCTGAAGCCTTCACGTGGCTTTTTGCTACAGCTTCATTATGTCTGACGAAAGAAAGTGCCGCGCTGTATCTCTGAGCGTGTGTTGCGCCTTCAGTGAGAAAGGACTTTCTTGCCTGGGCCCAGGTGTTCCTGCAACCTGCTCTGTAGGGCGCATGGACTTTTTCAGTGTACATATATCATCAGTGCAGTGGAGGAACCCTGGGGTGGGAATTTACCTTTGGGGGTGAAGTCCAGCAGTCAGGTCTGGGGAAAGAATGTATTTTAGTCATGTTGAATTCATCCTGTGATGGTGAACCAATTCTCTGCTTAATTATAGTCCCAGCTGTAAATACTAAAGCATCAGGCCTGCTTCGTTTCACAAAAGTATACTATTTTGGATGGTAAGTTACAGAAATAGCATGCCTGCCTATTTGAAAAACTAAAAAGCAGCAGATTTCGGCACATGGCTTTTGGCTGTCTCCAGTGCACCCTCTTCCCAGTGCCTTGACTCAGAAGTGCTGTCTCTCTTCCCATGTTCACGAGACTGGAGGTCTTCCTGATCAGTTCCCTTGTGCTCCCTGCTTTCCTTTAGAAGGCAGCTTTCAAACAACTTGGGGCCCCAACACAACCACATTAAAAACATTACATGTGATCTGGCGGCACACAGGGATGTTGGGGTATATTTTCAGAGATGCTTCAAACGCAGAAGTTCTCCATCAGTGGAACTTTTTTTTTTAAGCATTCCTCATGAAAACTCATCAGCATTTCAACCAACAGAGATGCTTCCATGAAATTTAACCTAACATGCACAGTTTTGCAAAGCAATTTTTCCTGTTGTAATGCAGTTTTCGATGTCATGTTCAGTAATATGCACATTTTATGCACAACTTGCCCCTGGGTTTGCATTTATGTACACATTACTTGGCTGGAGAACTGCATTGCAAAATTCAGGGAAGTGCAAATTTAATATTGTTTCAGGAAGTGCAAACCAGGTAGATTTGTGTTAAAATGCAGAAGAGCATTTTCTTAGAAGAGCATTTTCCTGCCTTGCAGTCTGACGTGGGTGGCACTGTGGGTTAAACCACAGAGCCTAGGGCTTGCTGATCAGAAGGTCGGTGGTTCAAATCCCAGCGATGGGGTGAGCTCCCGTTGCTTGGTCCCTGCTCCTGCCAACCTAGCAGTTCAACAGCACAAAGTGCAAGTAGATAAATAGGTACCACTCCTGCGGGAAGGTAAACGGCGTTTCTGTGTGCTGCTCTGGTTTGCCAGAAGTGGCTTAGTCATGCTGGCCACGTGACCTGGAAGCTGCTCCCTTGGCCAGTAAAGCGAGATGAGTGCCGCAACCCCAGAGTCGTCCACAACTGGACCTAATGGTCAGGGGTCCCTTTACCTTTACCTTTAGTCTGATGCCGGACTCTACATAGGCAGCTGGAGAGAAGCAACACAACTGCTCAAGTGTGGCTTATGTGATTCAATTCTGAAAATGTTGCAGAACTCGTGGCTAGGTAGGGTGGGATTCTGGCCTCCCCAGAAAAAAATAGGAAAAACGGTTTTCTGTAGGAAAGTAAAGAATGAAGTTATCACTGAAGAAGTTGCCTATGTTTGCAACAAAGCGCCATAGAAGTTGTGGGACATGAAATATCTACTGATAGGCTGTGTTATATCTTCTGGAGATTTTAACATGGAGTTTAAATCTTCAGGTGAGCACTTTCTCTTGGCCCCGTCAACATCAATGGCCCAGTTGGTGGTGACACAGGAGGAGAGAGAGAGAGCATTTTCTGTGGGGCTGATCCCAGGTTGTGGAATCCCCCCCCCCCCAAGGTTAGGCTGGCTCCCTCTTTGCTATTCTTCTGCTGGCAGACAGGCCTCTGAAAAATACAGCCACTGCTAGGCACTGTGCTATAATGCATGGGTAGGCAACCTAAGGCCCAGGGGCCGGATCTGGCCCAATCGCCTTCTATATCCGGCCCGTGGACGGTCTGGGAATCAGTGTGATTTTACATGAATAGAATGTGTTCTTTTATTAAAAATGCATCTCTGGGTTATTTGTGGGGCCTCCTGGTGTTTTTACATGAGTAGAATGTGTGCTTTTATTTAAAATGCATCTTTGGATTATTTGTGGGGCATAGGAATTTGTTCATTATTTCCCCCCCCAATATAGTCCAGCCCCCCACAAGGTATGAGGGACAGTGGACCGGCCCCCTGCTGAAAAAGTTTGCTGACCCCTGCTATAATGCAATGCTGATTTTAAATGTGTTTCAATATATTTTAACTATTGTTTTTAAGAACAGTTAAAAAATGCTGTATTACTGTGTATTTAAAAAGATGTTTTCATATGCCATAAGCTGCATTGAACCCAGTCTGGAATACTGAATATACATACATTTTTAAATAAAAAAACAGTATTTTTTTATTACTGCTGATTTATTTTTATAGCATTATTCTATGCATCCAGTGCAACAGCTGGAATAATATGTCAGCTCCAGGAAAAAAGACTGCATTGCAGGGGGCTGAATTAGATGACCCTCAGGGTCCCTTTCAACTCTACAATTCCTGTCCGGTGCTCTGAGAAATTCCCAATACCGAAATCCTGCTGAGGCAACTGTGAGCAGAGGAACTGTCTTCCTCCCAGTCTCCACTGTGGCTTTGCAAGTGGGATTCCCTGGTCTTGGCTCACATCAAAGTCGCTTGGGAAAGGAAAAGGAAGCTCAGGTCTGCCCTGGCCACAGTGTAGCGCTTTCTCATTAGCCACCTAAGCTGCTTTCTCTAGTATGTGGTACAACCTTTTCAAGTGGGGAGGAAGGGCAGACAATGGTGTGTGCATAAAATGAAATGCAATGATGAATGAGAGGGAGAGGGAGAAGGAGAGAGGGAGAAAGAGAGGAGAGACTGTATGACAGTAAGATGCAAATATAAGCAGTAAAGGTAAAGGTACCCCTGCCCGTACGGGCCAGTCGTGTCCGACTCTAGGGTTGTGCACCCATCTCACTTAAGAGGCCGGGGGCCAGCGCTGTCCGGAGACAGTTCCGGGTCACGTGGCCAGCGTGACGAAGCTGCTCTGGCAAGCCAGCACCAGCGCAGCACACGAAAACGCCGTTTGCCTTCCCGCTATAAAGCGGTACCTATTTATCTACTTGCACTTAGGGGTGCTTTCGAACTGCTAGGTGGGCAGGAGCTGGGACCGAAAGACGGGAGCTCACCCCGTCGCAGGGATTCGAACCGCCGACCATGCGATCAGCAAGTCCTAGGCACTGAGGTTTTACCCACAGCGCCACCCGCGTCCCGTGTAATATAAGCAGTACTTTATTCTTAATATCATCCTTTCCACACACCTCAACAATTAAAAGAGATGCCTCTTGGTTCAGAGGAGATCATCGTAGCTTATAATTATATTTAATTCTTTGCTCCTCCAGCCCCAAAGAAAAGGAATCACATGAAGGGTGTACTGCGAGGAGTGGGGGGCTCATTTGTGTGCAATATTTTGGTCTCTACCAGAGTAAGAATAGTGTCAGACTGGTTATCTAATCGGACTTCAACATTGTATATTAGCAGAGGGTTGGGAAGTTCAGACCACAGGCTCAAGATTAGAACTGAACCAAATCAATCCATTTAAAGATGCACAATGCTTCATGCAAGGCATATTATTATCTTCATATGGAAGATAATGACATTCTGCACTTGGAAGGCAAACATTGCAAGAAAAAGAAATGTAAGATAGCAATATATTACGAAGATTAAGAATGGAATAAGAACAGCATTATAATTACATCGACAGAGCAATCAATTCGAGTAATTTGAATGAGAATCTTGGGCTTGTAGCTTCCTGCTCTAACTTTGGCCTCCTGCCTTTTTGGTTATTATATTTGTTTCTTACTAGGGGCTATTGCCCCTGCTTGCTGCACTCAAGAACTACTTGCTAAGATAATCATGGATAATGTTGGCCTTGAGAAAAAACTGGAGATGTTCTCAGGCATAAAATGCAAGGGAAGGCAGATGTTGAGAAGTGGGAGGTGGCCGATCTCTCAGAGAAGCCCAGTGCTCACGGTCCTGGGAGACATCTGCTGTGACAAAATGGCTGCTGCCCCAGGCAGAGAGATTGAGTCTGGACTCTGGGAAGAGCAGAGCGTCTCTTTTGGGGAGAAAAAACTAGGGGAGGGAGGTGGTTAATCTTCTGTATGGCCAATAAGCTCTTCAAGAAATTTCTGTGGTTTGCACCCCGTAGTTCTACATGCTGGAATAAATGGTAACAGATATCTCAGAAAGCAGACTTGGATGTTACCTGGCAGCTTGGGAGAAAGGAATGAGGAAGAGGTACAGTGGTAACTGAATGAGGAAGAGGTACAGTGGTAACTGAACGAGGAAGAGGTACAGTGGTAACTGGAGACAGTCTGCTGGCAGTTTCCCAATTCCCAGGCCATGATCCTGAAGGCTGTATGACAACCCACTACGTGAGATGTTATAAATACAGTGGTACCTCGGGTACCTCGGGTTACATATGCTTCAGGTTACAGATGCTTCAGGTTACAGACTCTGCTAACCCAGAAATAGTACCTCGGGTTAAGAACTTTGCTTCAGGATGAGAACAGAAATTGTGCTCCAGCAGCGTAGCGGCAGCAGGAGGCCCCATTAGCTAAAGTGGTGCTTCAGGTTAAGAACAGTTTCAGGTTAAGAACAGACCTCTAGATCGAATTAAGTTCTTAACCCGAGGTACCACTGTACAAGCTGCTTCGTACAGGGGCATCAAATGTTGTTGGTTTCCTTCCCTCACTCAGCCTTGGAAACAGCTTTAGGTGCCAGGTCAACCTGCCCATGATGTGGGCGAAGCCAGGGTTTTTGTTGGGGGGGGGGCAGAACCTCAGATTTGTGTTGATTTGTATTGATGTAGATTGATTTAGGGGAGAAGTTGCCCCCCTTGGCTACGCCCATGGCCCATGAGACTTGGCGAAGCAGTTGCCTCAGGGCAGCAAGATCAGAAAAACCGGGAGGGGCAGCAGATATGGGCCCATGAGGAATGTGCCACTCACCCCCCTTCCCCCTTCCTTTACCTTCCATTTTTCTTGGTGTTGCCATAGGCAACAGGGGTGGAGTCACTGGCAGAGATTGCATTTTCTATTTTGCCTCAAGCAACCCAGCAGCATGGGCTGGCCCTGCTGGGTACTACGCACAGGTCATACAATACATCCATTTCTCTGCTTATTTTGAAGATTTAAACCCAGGGCTGAGTTCTGGCAACCTTTTTAGGCGCATTATGGCCTATTTTTAAAAAAACTCACCAACTTTGGTTGGTTGCTCCCCCCCCAAAAAAAGTACCGTATTTTTCACTCTATAAGATGCACCTAGTTTTAGAGGAGGAGAACAAGAAAAAAAAAATTCTCTCCCTCTATGTGCAGCGCCTCTCCAGCAAAGCGGGAGAAGAAATGGAAGGGGTTCCGTTTCTCCCCCCGCTTTGCTGAAGAGGCGCTGCGCAGAGAGGGAAAGCTGTGCAGCGCCTCTCCAGCGAAGTGAAGTCAGAACAGCAAGAGGGATCACTGTTTTCGCTGTGCAGCAGTCCCTCTTGCTGTTCTGGCTTCCGGGATAGCTGTGCAGCCTGCATTAGCTACATAAGACGCACACACATTTCCCCTTACTTTTTAGGAGGGAAAAAGTGTGTCTTATAGAGCGAAAAATACGGTAAGTTCCAGTACAGTGGTACCTTGGGTTAAGAACTTAATTCGTTCAGGAGGTCCGTTCTTAACCTGAAACTGTTCTTAACCTGGAGCACCACTTTAGCTAATGGGGCCTCCTGCCGCCGCCGCGCGATTTCTGTTCTCATCCTGAAGCAAAGTTCTTAACCTGAGGTACTATTTCTGGGTTAGTGGAGTCTGTAACCTGAAGCGTATGTAACCTGAAGCGTATGTAACCTGAGGTACCACTGTATCTCCTCTTTTTTTTTAGAAAAAAAGCTCTGATTATACCTCACCTTTCGATCAGCACAATCAATTTCAAATCAAATACAAATTGTAATGAAATTGTTTTTACAAAGAAAGCTGATCTCTCTCTCTCTCCCCGTCGGTCAGCAGCCCTTAATTCTCTGACAGGTGAATGGTGCCAGCTCTGGCTTCCCTTTGGTTCTGCAACCCCAGATCACAGATGAGAGGCTTCTGATTTGTAGTGCTATTGCCCTAAGCATGGTTCCTGGTTGCAGTTCCTCCAGGAAGCAAGAAACAGTTGCCCTGCTGCAGCTTGATCCTTGAATTATCACATGTCTACCCCACGCTGCTTTCTCCAGAAGCTTAAAACTTACTTGATTAATCAACTTAGATTTGTTTAGTTGGGCGACAGTCCTGTCCCACAAAAGAATAAAAGAAAATATTTTAAAAACCAGTTATAGACAGTGCCACAGATTCTATCAGAACTGTCTCTGGGTAAATATTTTCCGGACGTGGGGTTTGCGGCACACTAAAGATCAGGTGGGTCAGTGGGGCATCCGGGGAACAACTGAGCTAACAATCTGCACCAGCCCCGGACAATGAGGCCTTTGAAATGGACCAGTTTTCTCCTGGATGTGTGCCTAGAAAAGGCATCTATTCTCTTTCTGCAGCCCTCGTTATATTGCAGCAACAGCTAAAAAGTGTTGACGGAAAGCTTCAAAGCAGCGCTCTGTGACATTGTTAGCAGAGTGTGGGAAACGACCGACCCCTTTAAGCTACGAGTTGCGATTTCTCCCTGCGAAAACCCTGCACAGCAGCAGCAGAAGCCGGCACAGCAGAAGACTCTGCTTAAGCAGAGGGTGCATGTTGAACAGGAATAAAAAAATGACATCACTACTGTTTGTGGAAATGCTGATAAGGACGGTTGTGTGGAAGGAAGAGAGGAAGTGGTTAGGCAAATTTGCGTTTTTATTTTTCTAAGGAAGGAACAAAAGGATCTCTGTGTTGCAGAATTAAGCTTTTTTCCTGGCAATTTAGACACTCTACAAAGAGAAGGCTACTCCTGTGTAAGTTTCATGAAAACTACTGCAACTTCTGCCATGGCTGTCTTGAGCCTTCCTCTGGATTGGGACCCCAGAGTGTAAACCTTTTGGATCCCCCACACTTTCCCTTTCCCTGGTGCTATGGTGTGCGGCAGGCTGAATCCCAGGAGTGCCACTGCCAGTCAGTGTTGACACTATTACGCTAGATGGACCAGTGGTCTGACTCAGTCTAAGGAAGCTTCCTGGGTTCCCTGCTTCTTTAAGGGGGAAGGCTGTAGCTCACTGGATGTATGGGATACTGGAAAACTCCAATGGAAACAGAAACAGGAGCAGAAACGGCCGACGCTCACTTATTCTGTAACAGAAAATGATCCAGTGAATACAATCGGTATTCGGTGTTCTGCTTTCTACCTGCAAACAAAACGTAACTGAGTACGTCCCCCCCCCATTCGCATTAGGTTTCCTTTGCACTGAAATAAATGGGGTGGAATAATGTAATGAAAATGTAACATGTAATTAATTATCTAGGTTACGTGAGCTAGGTAGTTTTGCCACAGTGGACAGCAGGATAAACAACATGGTTTTGGGCAGGAAGTGAACTGCAGTGGAACAGAAGCAGTGCTGGATGTGATGAGCATAGGGGCTAATGGAAGATGGTGCCTTCTTCCATCTCTGGTGGAAGAGCAACTGTTTTGCATGCAGAAGGCCCCGGGTTCAATCCACAGCATCTCCAGGTATCCATGGGATCTCTGCCTGCAACTCTGGAGAGCCACTATCAGTCATGTTGGCAGGCAATACTCAGCTAGATGGATCAATGGGTTGACTTGGGGTAAGGCATCTTCCTCTGATTTTAGGACCTTTGGACAGAGCCAGGAGAGTTCTTGTGATGTTCTTAGGCCCTGTCTCTTGACTACACAGGCCCTGAAACCACAAAGAAGGGACCTGGGACAGCCGCCTCCAGGTTCTGCCTCAAAGACACAAGGTGTGGCTTTGATGTGTTTGCTTCACTGTATGCACACACACAGAGCTTTCTTTTTAATTCTCCAAGACTTTTCAACCAAATTTGAAGCTTTGGCTTTTAAGTTTTGTGTGAGTTTAATTTTATTGCTTACTCTCTTCTGTGATGCTATTATTATTATTATTATTATTACTATTATTTTACTGCAGTAGTGTTTCAGTGCTCATTTTGCAGGAGAGTTTCACTTATAAAGTGGCCTGTCAGTGCTGTTGATAAACAAATAAATAGGTACTCATTCTCTAATTTTCAAGAGAAGCCCAGATTTCACAATGCGTCTTAGAATGCAAGTAAAATAACATAATTTTTTTAAGCAATAAAAATTTCCTAATACTGTGAAAACATTTATTCTCTCCCCTCTTCAGTTTAATTTCGGACAGTCCCTCCCAACCTGGGGCCCTCCAGGTGTTTGCAACTACAACTCCCATCAGCCTCAGTCAGGTTGACCATATGATGCTGAGGCTGATGGGAGTTGTAGTCCCAAATACCTGGAGGGGCCCAGGATGGGGAAAACTGCTTCAGAATCTCCCCAGGGCCAAGTTGTCCAAGGGGGAGCCTCTCAAAAGCTGCAGCCAGCCAACTCTCGCTGGTTCTCATGAGGAAATGGAAGGTTGATGGGAAATAAATTATGACTTTTGACGTGTGGAGGGAAGTTCATTTAAGAAGCAAGGAGACAGTTGGAAATTGGGGGACATTTGCATTTTAATCTGAGGATTTCCATGTACCACCAATTAGAGACAAAAGATACATAAGAAATTCTGATGAATGACGCAGGCAGCTCGGTAGCCTTCTCATTACATTGGCATCTGAAGTGGAACCAATGCCATTTATTAATAATTTAATTAAAATGGCAACACATTATTTTTTCCCCTGTACTATACAGAACTGTAAACATTAATTTGATATGGTTGAGAATCACGAAATGCAATCTTAATTACTTAGAAACTAGGATAGCCAGTTGGACTGAATCAGGCAGGCAATTATCTTGAGTTTCCCCCCTTTCTTCTCCTTCTCAAAATGAGCATCCATCCATCTTAAAGAGTGGAGATAAATAACAAACTGAAAAAATGAAGAATATTCTGGAGAACTCTTTGTATAAACAAACCACCCTCCTCCCCAAACTGATCAAACAGTTCTATGACGCTGTTAAGGAATCTCTAAAAATGAGATGTTTTGGTGCGCAAGGCACAAAATGGCTCACACACAAACACACTCAGCATCAGGTGCAATCATCCAAGAGGTTCTTCTGTGCAAGCTCCATTGAGGTGAATGGGGAGTGGTCTACAACTACACCACAGTGCTCACAGAATCATAGAATGGTACAATGTAGGAATCTCAGCTAAAGCATCCATGACAGGTGGCCATCAAACCTCTGCATAAAAACCTCCAAGGAAGGAGAGTCCATAACGTCCCGAGAGGGACCGTTCCACTGTCAAACAGCTCTGTCAGCTCCTGCTCTTTGCAATGGGATACCTGGAGAACAAGCCCCACATTCTGGATGGTGGAGAAGGCTCTGAAAAAAGGTAGGACAGGAGCTCAATTCCGTTGTTTTTTTAAGAAGAAGGTGGCGCATAAATTTGTCGCATGTTTCATAAGAACAGGATAAGAACACACAAAATGCACTGAATTTAATTGCCACATTTCTAGGGTTGAGCCTTTGAATTAAAAATAGCTGCTTCCTGTGTGCCCATTTCATGAGCCATCATCACAGCATGAGCTGGACGCCACACCCGCTTGCAACAACAGAGATAAAGTGGCTTTGTGGAATATGAGGCCATCGCTGGGAATAAAAGAAAACTACAATCAGCAGCCCCTGATGCCTTTGGCTATTCAGCCTAACGGGGTTCATGGGCAGCGCATGACGCACACACAGAGCATGATAGAGAAATGGGCCCAAGCACAGCCTTCTTTTGCTGGGCCGATTCTCGCAGACCCACATCCACAGGATGAGAAATCCATGGTCTGTGTAGAGCACAAATCCCCAGGTTTCCATCTCTTCATTGCAGTCGGGCAATGCAAAGAAACCTGAATGTGTCTCTGTCTGTGGCTCTTTCAATGAGGGTTGCTGTCATGAATGGCAGGACAACGGGGAGGAGGAAGAGGATCCCAGCAAGGGACTGGGACACACCAGAGCAAGCTGGGGATGGAAAAGGGAGAGGTTGGTGTAGAAAGCACTCACTGGGCGACAGAGGGTGGTGAGGAGATGGAGGTCAGTGGACAGGAACCAGAGCAGCAGGACCCATCACCAGAGCCAGAGGGGCCCCTGTTTCCCCAAACACAGCAGGTTCTGAGGTGTAAGGAGCAGCAGGAGGTGAGCTCAAGGAGGCTAAGGCAGACACGGTCTCCCAACCCAGATCATTAGCTGTGACGAGGTGTGATTCCTCAGCTGGAGTAGACTCGGGACAGGTGAATGTCACCTGCCTCATGCAGTTCAGATGCTGCAATCAGCATGCAAGGTATAAAAGGGAAGCAGCGCTGAGGAGCACAGCCCTTATCCCCGATATGCTAGCTTTGTACTGTTTACCTTGGAGTAACTGAGCAGCTCCTGCCCCAAATTGCCCTCCACCCTCAGCTCGCAAGAGCACATTGTCCCTGCCTGCATGCTCTGGCCAGTAAGCAAGACTAAATCAACAGCTTTTATAGGAGTCAGGAGGGTCCCACCTGACCCACCCTGGCCTCCATTATTCTCCCAACAGATAAAAATGGAGAGACATTTTAGCATCATTATACTCATTCCAACAATGGCAGCTTGTGCTAAATTCCTTTCTTTGGCAATTGCCTCTCCCACCCCAGACTTAGCTTGGTGGTCATGTTTAGATGTACACAGATTGCTGGAAAGATGAACCTAAACCTCAGTCAGAGATTTGATTCTGAGAGCAGTGGTGGGGACCCCTAGGCCCTGGCAATGAATGTGGCCCTCCAGTCCTTTTTCTCCGGCCCTCTGATGTCTCCCCTTACGGCATCTCCTTGAGTCCTTTGGCCTGGCTGGAATGTGTCCCTGGTGTTTGATGACACCTTTTGCCTGCCTTTTCATGACTGGGATGCAGCCTACTGAGCAACGGTAAGAGACTAGCCATTGCTCCGCCCACATTTGCCTCTGGCCCTGCCCACCATATGCATGTGTCTCCTAGAAGGTCCCCCACGGGGAAATGTGGTCCTTGAACTGAAAAATATTCCCAGGCCTGTGGGGAGGGAGCTGAATTTGATAAGGCTGGCAATGCCATATTTGTTAAGGCTGGTGACTCGGTATAAGGCAGCTCGCTTTGATCCTAAATACCACTCACAAAACATTACTGAGGCAAAAGGCCAAAAAAGGGGACAATGACTTCCTAGAACAGGGGTCAGCAAACTTTTTCAGCAGGGGGCCGGTGGGGGGCCGGACTAGATTTTTTTGGGGGGGGGATGAATGAATTTCTATGCCCCACAAATAAGCCAGAGATGCATTTTAAATAAATGCACACATTCTACTCATGTAAAAATACCAGGCAGGCCCCACAAATAACCCAGAGATGCATTTTAAATAAAAGGACACATTCTACTCATGTAAAAACACACTGATTCCCGGACTATCTATGGGCTGGATTTAGAAGGCGATTGGGCCGGATACGGCCCCTGGGCCTTAGTTTGCCTACCCACGTCCTAGAGCAGCCTTTCCCAATGTTGTTGAACTACAACTCCCATCACCCCTAGCTAGCAAGGCCAGAGCTCAGGGATGATGGGAGTTGTAGTCCAACAACATCTGGGGGTCCACAGGTTGAGAACCGCTGTCCTAGAGTGAGCTGAACAGGAACAGCTGGAGCAAGTGACTTCCATGGATGGAAGGTGGGGGTGAGCTCCGCCAGGGCACCCCGGGCCAGCTGCCCATTTGAGCCAATGGCCAAGCATGCTGGGACAAGCAGGAGGAGCCTGAAGAGCTAAGGTGGGCCCAGCACGGCAGCAGCATTTGTGCAAATGTCTGCCCCCCCCCCGGCGATTCTTACATCTGTTATTGCCGAATCCGCAAACTCATCCTCGGCGTTCGCTTGATAGTTAGCGACAGCAGCCAATTTCTCCCAAATCCGTTTTCGAGGGACTTCAGATGCTTCCTGTTGATGAGGGAAGAAGAGAAGGAAATAAGATCCAAAGAGATGCAGCATGTGTCATTGCGGGAGACAAACACGAGAGCGACCCTGGGAAAGTGGCCGTGGGTCCATGGCAAAGCCCCTGTGTTGCATGCAGAAGGTCACAGGTTCACTCAGAAGAGCTGCTGCCAGTCAGTGTCGACAGTATTGAGATAGATGAGCCAAGTTCATCTTCTGTCCACAGTGGGGAGGGCAGCCATTTCCCCTCTAACCGGAGGATCCTGGTTCGGGAGGCTTGCACTTTCCTAAGAAACACAAATCTTCCCCCTCTTCCTTTTCCAAGGCTGCTCTGAGTGGCTTGTCTCCTGCACTCTGCGGCCAGCTCAGCCTCCATTCAGCCTTCCTCCTTTCTCTACCCTGGCCAGGCTGGGTTGGCAATTATTTCAGTGTGACTCCAAATAGCCACAGATCAAATCTGAAAATGGCATTGGAGATGGCTAGGCTAGAGAACCTGTAACTGATGGCTCCCTCCTGAAAAACATCTATGCAGGGTCTAGCTCTATACTCCTGCAACTGTGTCGTTAGCCCATCCCCACGGCCCCAATCCTATTCAGGGCCAACCCACCTGAATAAGCAACCCAAGCAATGTGCTTAGTTGCCAGTGGAAGCAGCTACTCCCAGGGTAATCAATGTGGAGCATTCCAGATGTTATTGGTCTGCAAATCCCATCATCCTTGACCATGCTTGATGGAAAATGGAGCCCAGCAGCATACGGAGGGCACCACGCTAGTCACCCTGGCTTAATGTGAGGAGACGTCCAACAGCCTCTATTAACTGAGATTGCTAAATGGAACCTCCATGTTCAGTGGTATGCCAGGAAGTGACTTTTTGCACTGCTTAGGGGCATAGAAAACTGCCTTGCACCAGGTCAGAGCCTTGGTCCATCAAGCTCAGAATCATCTACACCAGGAACAGGGAGCCTCACAGCTGCTGTAGGTCTTCTCCAGCTCCCACTAGCCCCAGTCACCATGGTCAGGGGGATGATGGGAGTTGGAGTCCAGCAGCATCTGGAAGGCCACTGGCTCCCTCTCCCTGGTGAACACTGATTGGCAGTGCTTCAGGGGGGGTTTCAGATAGGAATTCTCCCAAGGTTTATCTGGAGATACCAAGAATAGAGCATGGGCCCTTCTGTACATAATGCTGAAAGGGAGGGATGTAGTCTAGTGGGAAAGTATCTGCTTTGCATGCAGAAAGATCCGGGTTCAATCCCCAGGTTGGGCATGGAGAGCTCTCTGTCTGAAATCCTGGAGAGCTGCTGCCAGTCAGTGTGGGAACTACTGAGCCAGATGGACCCAAAGGTCTGACTCAGTATATGGCACACTTCCTATGTCCTGCACCTGATACGGGCCCCTTTCCTATCTTCTGCGTCTAAAGCTCCCAGAAGCATCTCTTTGCCTACTCTGGGAATTTGGGTGCTGGATTACCCTGGACTTCAGTCTGTTTCTGTAAGGAAGTTCTGGTGTCCATATGTCTAAGGCCAGCCATCTTTCCCTCCCCCAGTGGACTCTGGGATAGCACCTTTCCCGGGCCATGCAAGAATTGCTTCCTCCTTGCTCACCTGCCCAGTGATGCTGTCTGCTTCTGGAGGGGTTGGCAGCGATAGGCACTATTAGATGTGGGGCAGGGCCTATCCGTCCAATGGACAGCAGAATCCAGCCCTTGATAAATGGCCCAATTGCACCAGCTGCTTTGGTCTGTGCTCATTAAGCTACAGTTTTGTTCTTTGGGTTTTTATTTTATTTAATGATCCTCTTGTCATTAGAAGGTTGGTTGTTCTCCTGGGTATTTAAACTGTTTTAACTACTTATGTATATATCTCTGCTTTGTCAGCTATAATGGCAATTGTGGGGTGGGGGAGTGGGTGTGTGATACTGATCCCTCTTAAATCTTTTTTTATAAAAATGCTGTAAATCTAGCTATAAAAATAAATTCAATAAGAGTTTGGTGTTGATTCTTTCTCTCCAGGAGAAAGGCAATTCTGGCTCCCTCTGTTCCTTATTTGTAATTCCTCAAAGAGTGCAGTCTGTAGATGGGACTGGATGGTGTGATCTGGGTGCTGCTTTCAGGGTACAGGGCTATATTCAGGCTGCCTCTGCACCTCTCAAGTGATTAAAGAGCCTAAGAATAAGGAACTGAGAACGGCAACTGAGTTTCTGCCCTCCCTACAGGCCAGGCCTCCTATCTGCTGTTCTTTCAACTTCAGAGCGGCACCTGGCCTTGGAACTGGGCCAATCTTGCTGCGGTTTATTTCTGGGTCCGCAGAAATAATGTGCCAGTACACCGGAAGGTAGGGCAGGGAATGATTAACATCAAAACGAGGAGGGAAAGTCTCTTTTGTGCTCCCAATTGCAGACTGTCCAAAGTCAGCAGCAGCAGTGCCATAGGCAGCAGCAGGGTAGAAAGGAAATTTCACTCTTCCTTTCATCTGTTTGCACTTCCGGGCTCTGATCTCCAGGTGACCAACAATTGCAAAAAGGGACAAGCACTGTTGCCGCCTTCATATCCCGCATGTGGGCATCCCACAATGGGCATCTGATTGCCCACTGTGAGAACACGATGCTGAACTAGATAGGTCCCCTTTGGATTGATCCAGCTACAGCCGGGCTCTTCTGATATCCCCACAAGTAGAGGGGGAGGGGAATATGCCTCCCATAGTAAGCTCAAGAGGTCTGAATTTCAGTAGGACATGAAGGCAGAAACTCTGAAGCATGGGCAGTGCCACACTATCTTCCATGGTTGCTAGTTTTAGAAGCCCCTCTGAGAGGGGAGGGAGAATCAGGGCAGTTTCCTGATGTCTCGAAGGCCTTTCTCCTCCTCCTCCTCCTCTGTATGCAGTACAAAGCAAACAAGGCAGACAAACACAGATGTACCTTTGACTTTTCAAACAGAGCCAGGGCTTGTTTGTAGTAACGGATGGCTGGACCAAAGTGGCCCTGGCAGAGGTGAGTCATGCCCAGCTGTTCACAGGCCTGCGCCTCACCATAGGAGTCACCTGGAGGAAGAAACAGAGCCAATAGTTGCAGGACAGGGGCCAGGAAGTCCAGGATGGAATGAGGAGGAGTGTAGGGTCAATGGCTTGTAGTTTCTTGCCTGGAATTGGGGACACTTTGATCTGCAACTAGCTCAGGTCTTTGGCTGGCATATGAGCTGAGCTACTTTTCAAAGTGAAACAGTGTCAGTCTGCCCAGTTACAAGCAGGAATATACAAAACTACTCCTTTTTTAGTTTCACCTCCTTGTCAGGCGGCAGGCATTGTAGGTTTCTGGAGATATCAGTGCAAAAACAAGGTTTGCAGTGGTGAGTTGCTGGAAGTTCTTAATAGCCCATTGCTCCACATTTAAGAGGACTTTCAATTACCATTTGATTACCTTGTATAAAACAGGTCTTATTGTTCCATTTGCATTTTGCAAGCAGAAATAAGGCAGCTGGCCCCAGAGGCCTTCAAGGGACAGTGAGAGTTCCTTCTTCCACCCTGGCCGCGTAAATTCAGACGCATTTTGCACTCCAAAACATTCCTTCACTCACACTCCAAAATGTCTCAACAACACTAACAGCTGCATCTTATATACTTAGAGGGAACTCATTGCCTGTGTGTGGATTCTTGTGTAGCCAAAGCAGCAGTACCCAAGCACAAGAGGGAGGAGGAGATACTAGCAGGCATGGAGCGAATGACAAGGTGTGCAGAAGTACAAAAAGGCTTTTGGGGCGCAGGGGACTAACAGCTCAATGAACAATACCTACAGAACAGGTCAATTGGGGGCCCAGGAGGATGGAAAACCAGGGAGAAGGCAAAATGGAATACTGCAGAGTGCTCTGAAAACAGGCTAGATGGCATGCATGTAACATTGCAACAGTTTGCTGCTGGTCCCACCTGCCTGTTCTGTCTCTCAAATTGCTTAGTATGAGCTCTCCTGGAGGTTAACGTGACTCTGTCCCAAACCTACTTGTAGTTCATGATCTTAGCCTGGAGCCTGCAGTGTCAGGGCTGGAGACAGCAATGAAGGAAGCAGGTCTCCGTTGTCAGCAAAGTTAACTCTTTATTCAAGGAAACAGACATGCAACTCAGCTTAGTGGTCCCAGCAACTCTCTCCAGTAGGTCTTGCCCCTATGGAGCAGGGGTCAGGACTGAAGGTCCCTGCCAGCCATCCTCTCTAAGCCTCTTCCTCTCCTGGGTGCTTCCCAAGCAGCCTAAAACTGCGTCTGCGCACCTCTGCTCTCTGGTCTGCTCTTCTCATTACTCTGCACATTCTTGGGAGACCAGGGGGGAGGACAGCTTGTCACACAGGAGAGGGAGACTCCTGGGGTTCTTCAGCAGTCCCTTGACCCCTCTCCTCCGCCTCCTCCTCAGAGTCTGAACTGCTCCCTAAAGCCTGTTGCCCCTTCAGCACCGGGCACCTCCTCCTAATCTTCTCTCTCTGGGTCTCCCAGCTCCTAGTCTGGCCCTCTAACCACCACACCACCACTGGCTCTCTGCTTTGCATACAGAAGGACCCCAGCATCCCACGCTAGCTAATACAGTAGGATCAGTAGGTGTTCCTGGAGAGCCCCTGCCAATCAGAGTGGACCTGCCTTCCCCACCTGGGCACTCTGCACATGTTTTGGACCACAACTCCCATCACCCCTGACTCAGGCTGGGGCCAAGGGGAGTTATCATCCAGTCATTGGGAGAGCACCTGGTTGGAGATGGCTGGAGTGGGTCATACTGGATCATAGGCACCAAAGGACTGACCTGATACAGTGGTACCTTGGGTTAAGAACTTAATTCGTTTTGGAGGTCCGTTCTTAACCTGAAACTGTTCTTAACCTGAGGTACCACTTTAGCTAATGGGGCCTCCCGCTGCTGCTGCACCACCGCACGATTTCTGTTCTCATCCTTAAGCCAAGTTCTTAACCCGAGGTACTATTTCTGGGTTAGCAGTGTCTGTAACCTGAAGCGTCTGTAACCCAAGGTACCACTGTATATAAGGTGGGCTTCACCACAGTCACTTACCTGCATCCACAAAAGCTTTCAGCGCCTGCTGGGAGTAAAATCCAGCCATGTCGTAGTTTTTCAGCTGGCTGTGAGCAGTGGCCAAATTGTAGTGGCATTGGGCCTGAGCAGCCCTCTCTCCCAGTGCCCCTGGCAAAAAAAGAAAAGAAAAAAGAAAAAAGATCCAGCATGGATGATGTCAGCAGCTTGGCAAATGGATCCAGCCCCTTCCCAGAACTCTAGAAACTTTCCCCCAAAAGGATATTGTTCTGAAAACATCCCTAGCAGGGGACATTTTAGCCTTATGCAATCCTGTAGGGTGAGAGCGAATCTGCCACAGGGGCAGTGAGGGCTCCTGAGTCCTGCAGGCTTGGAATTCTGCATCAGAGTGACCAAAATCATGCCCCAATGAAAGCTACGGTCTGCAATCTGCATATATTATACAAATCACCATACTGTCTCTTATTTGACTGTTTTGCTGAGAATTGAGGCAAAGAGATCTACATGCTTCACTGGAAGCCTTATACAGCCATCTGCTCTGGCTCCTGACATTTCAGACAGGGTAAAGAAGCGGAAAGGGAACCAATTTGCGGGGTGTGTGTGTGTGCTTCATGGCTTATCCCCACTAACCTTTTGCCCCGCTGTTTCCAGACACAGGTCTGCACTTTAAAGCTCCATGTCAGAGTGCTCCTTTTTGCCCCAGAGCTTTCCCCATGAAAACCCACTCTTTAAAGCTGATGTGCAACAAGCAGCAAGTTTGCTTGCCCCCAATATTCTGAGGTAGACTGCCTCTGAACCTGAAGGTGCCATTTACCTGCTGCGGCTTACACAGGCACAGAGAGGGTGGAGAAGGGAGGAGGAGCTTTGGGTGGCTGGAAGTGGTTTAGTAGGGTGCAGCACCCTTGCAGTTTGGAGGGCAGCACTTGGTGGAGGAGGAGAATCTCAGGGAGCCAGTGGTGGGACTGAGTGCTGTCTTCCCGAGGCCTTGAAGAGTGTGGCTGCCAGCCAGCGGAGGTGATCTGGGGCTAGGTGGGCTGTGGGATTAATTTAGCCTAAGGAGGCAGCCTGGCAGAAATAAGGACTTTTTTTTTGTCACTCAACCAGTGCTTGCTTTATGGCAGTGGTGGCCAAACTTGGCCCTCCAGCTGTTTTTGGACTACAACTCCCATCATCCCTAGCTAACAGGACTAGTGGTCAGGGATGATGGGAATTGTAGTCCCAAAACAGCTGGAGGGCCAAGTTTGGCCACCACTGCTTTTATGGCGTCTCCCAAGCTCCACCCCTTCCCGTCTCTCTCCTGCAAGAGGCAGCCATGAGAAACTGGTTCCCACCACGTGAGCTTAGAATCTGAAGCCCTCCTTGCAAATAGGACAGAGAGGAAAGCGAAGAACACCCCGCCTCCCTTTACCAAGGAGCCCTGTGTAGCCTCCCATGGCTCTTTCCAGCAGAAAGAGGCACAATGAGTGGTGAGGTGGTGGGACCAGGTACTTTCAGCTTCTAAGTCTTTCAAATCTCTGCAAAGCCGCTTAGCCAATGCATACCCCAGCCTAGAAACTCAGGGAGGACATGTTTTCAAACAGGGATTGTAACATTCTAGGTAAGAAGGAGTGCAAATGAATTGAACAAGCACAGCGCCACACAGATGAGACCAGTGACCCACAAGCTTTGTTAGCTGACAGACAGAGGCCCAACTGGCAAACAAAGCTGAGCAGAAATTAACAGACAATGACATGCAAAGATATGTGAACAAAATAAAGATTGCAATTAATTATTTGATGTGATCAAAACAACCAAATATTACAAAAGTTTGTATTAAGAAGTAGGTATTTTGTTTATCTTTAACAGTAATATGAATAGGGACAATAATTTAAGTTTTTTGTTTATGTCACATCATTCTCTATGTATTGGTACAGCAATGTGTTTTTAAGACTTGAATAAATTGGCTTAAAAAAACCTAACCCAATGCAACTCACCGTACATGTCAGCTGCTTCGCTGTGGTACCGCAAGGCCCTTTCGAAGCACTCCAGGGCGTTGCAGGCAGCCCCCAGGTTCTGCAACAGGACAGCTTTCTTCCGCACCGAAAAGCCCTTTCCGCTGCAAAGGCGGAGAGCTGCATCAAAGTGTTGTTCTGCCTGCTGGAAGCACCTCATTTCCGCATAGTGCAGCCCCAGGTGATTGTAGAGTTTGCCTGAGAGCCAAAGTGGAGAGAGAAAACTCAACATTAGCTGGAGGGAGCTTGGGATCTTTCCAGTTGATCAAGCAGAACCTTGTAGGCATTGCACAGTTGAAGGGAGCAAGACTCAGAGGAAATGTGTTCCCCAAAGACTGGGTCTTTCCACTGGGATGGAGCATCCCCCTCGCCCCTAGACGTAAAGGGCCCCTGGGTGTAGAAAAGGCTCAGAGGATGCCCCTCCCACTCAAGAAGTGGCAAAGCCCCCATCCCTACTTGGAACAGGCCATCTTCAGCTACCGTATTTTTCACTCCATAAGATGCACGTTTTTCCCTCCTAAAAAGTAAGGGGAAATGTGTGTGCGTCTTATGAAGTGAATGCAGGCAGGAGGCTCTGCTCAGCGCTCCCTTTAAAGAGCCGCATGGAGCGTGTGTGAGGCTCTTGGGGGCTTTTCCCCGAGGAGGGAGAAGGGCAGCCCATCAGCGAACTTTGACATGGCCAGGGCCTCCAGTGCTGCTCGCTGCCATAGCACCCGCCATGTTGCCTCACTGGAAGTCCCCAGGCATAAATCAGGGGACATTAATTAAAATCCGGGGACATACCGGGGACAGATTTTGTCTGGGGACAGATTGGTGAATCCGGGGACGTCTGGTAACCCTAGCCTATTTGCCTGTTTTCCTCTTCCCTCCCCCTCCTTTCCCTTTGTGATGTGCCCATTGTAAACATGTGAACAGGGGCAATCTTGTTTTTAATTATCATATGTAAGTTGCCCTTGGAGCCTTTCTAGCGGAAGAATGTGTTAGTACATCTCTCTCACACACACTGTCCCTGGGCATGAGATTTCTTCTTCCACTTCATCTTAATACTTGTCTATCAAAAAGCCTGCATTTGGAAATCCCCATTCCTGCTGAGATCAAGGGTGGGAACTGGGTCCCAAAGGCAGAGTAGCTCATCTGGCTAGAGGGCACTCTGGCAGCCCCCTGAGATTTCTGGGGTGGCAGGATTTTTCCTTAAGGAGACCCAATGGGGACTACGGAGGTACTTAGCTATACCCAGCAGTTCCTGGTTCCTTATCTTGGTGCACAACCGGCTGCAGGCCTGCAAGCTCTCTAAGACGTCGTCAGGGGAGTACACTGGGCTTCGCAGGAAGTAATTTGCTGCCTCCCTCATAGCCATGGCTGCGTCTTCTGGGAGTTGCACCCTTTGGTAGGCCTGGCCGGCCAGGCGGAAAGACTGTGCGGCTGACTCCACGTCACCTGTGCTCACCAGGCAATAGGCCAGCTTGATCAGGGCATCGGCTGAGCTTTGCGTTTGATTTGTGTCGTATTCCTGGATGGCCTTTCCGTAGAACTCTGCGGCTTTTGCGTATTCTCTCATGTCGTCGTAAGCCGCGCCCACGTTGAAGGAGAGGTCACCATCCTTCTCCTCACCTCCAAGTTCCTTGGCCTTCAACAGGCACTTGAGGCCCTTCTGGGGCTTGCCGGTGGCAATGTAAGCCGCCCCGAGGTTGAAGAGACACTTGGCTTTGGAGCGAGGCTCTGGGAGGCTACCCGAGAGCCTGTATGCCTTCTTGAAGGCAGCCAAAGCCTGGCCTTCCTCATTGCTGCTGAAAAGACATATACCAGCCTTCAACAGCCTTTGCATTTCAGTTTGGACAGAGCCCAGCTGGCTCACAGGCTGGTCTCCGACAGAGCCAGAGATCGGAGGAGCAGAGGCCATCTCTTCCAAAGGGGCAATGGAAGGGGAACTGCAAAAGGAAGCAGAGCATCACAACCATCTGCATATTTAGGTTTTTTTTTTAAAAAAAATCTAGACTGCTTTTCTTTTCTTTTCTTTTTTGTTGTTAATTTCAAATTCTTTTTTCCCCTTCTTTTTTTATTAAAGATTTTCTTGTTTTACAAAAGTGTTTGCAATGTCTCTCTCGTATTTTCCCCCCATGTAACATTTTTACAAATCAGTTTCATTTGTTGAGACATTGGGAAGAAAAGGGGGAAAGTGGTGGAGGGGTGGGGGAGATGGGTGGGGGTGGGGTCAGGCGACGGTGTTTCTGTTTTGCTTACTATATGTAGGGTTTGGTGTCAGCGTTGTTTGTGTAGGTTCTTTGTTGTTCGCTTGTGTTCCTTTGGTGGTGAGAGAGGTTGGGGTTGGTCTAGAGTGTGGTTGTTCATTTGTGGTTGGCTGTGGTGGTCTTTGTTTTCATGTGTGAGTGGGGTGGGTGGGTGTTTTGGATCAGGTTAGCCATATTGATTTGTATGTTGTTGGTGGGTTTTTGTCGTTGTCTTGTTGGGCTGTGTATGTGATAAAGGGGAGCCATACCGGGGTGAAGGTATCTAGACTGCTTTTCAAGGCACACACCCTGGCTCTAGGTAACCACCTCCCACCTCCCAGTGATGAGTCAGAAAAACAAATGTAAGGGAGACCCATGGCTGGCATCAGTACTGAGCCCTTCCAGGGTGCAAGTTGTCCAAGTAAGCCACCCTTCTCAGAAGATGGAGGTGCCACTTTCCTCTCTTCCTCCATGTGGTCAGGCAAGATGACCTTCACGGTCCCCCCCCAGCTTTATGATTTGCCCCACTCCCCCTTTTATAGCTCCCAAACCATCACTACACCTTGTGGCAGAGAATTCCAAAGGTCATCATGATGTTACACAGAGCTCTCACCATCTTGTCTAATGCCTCAGTTTCCCACTGATCTTGCAGTGAGAATGCATCATGTAGCTATATTTGTATGTTGCCGTTTCAAACGATATGTGTCAAGAGGTCATAAAATCATAGAGTTGTAGAGTTGGTAGTGACCCTGAGGATCTCTAATCTAACCCCCTGTGAGGCAGGAATATGCAGCTGTCTCATATGGGGATCGAACCTGCAGCCTTGGCGTTATCAGTACCAACTGAGCTCTAACCAACTGAGCTGTCCAGCTGGTGTCTGCGCCTACATGCATTTTATTATCCCATACTTGTTTCGCTTGCCCCCTCCCCACAACGTAGCTTTAAAATGATTTCTAACAGGCAAAAGGGAGCAGAAAAAAGGGGGGAATATTATGAACTAACACGTGTCTTCCATGAGAACATTACTGACAGGTAATGCAAACAAGTCAGCAGAAAGAAAAAAGGAGCTTTTGAAGAGAGAGATGCAGATTTTGGTATAATATTAGCTTCAGCTATCCAGGGAGCTCATTAGTTCCTCATTAAATGTTTGCTATAAACATACGTTTTGATTGATAATTATGTAATGAGCTGGAGAGCCTCGTTTCCCATCATCATGCTTTCCAGCTTGCGTGGCTCTTGTGCAAACTAGACTTTGATTAAAAATAGTTAATTGATGGGGGGTGGTCAATAAAGGAAGCAGCACCATTTATGATCTGTGCAATGGGAATCCTCTCGATTTCCTGCTCTGGTGGATTAACTTTGGCTGCTTAAATGCCTTTCCAGGGAGCTATTTTGGTCTGTATCTGCATGTGTGTGTGTGTAAGAGAGAGAGAGGGAGAGAGATTCTGGGAGAGGAGGCAAAATTCTCTGCAAAAGGGGTGGAGGAAAGCAGCATATATCAAGGAGGACGAGTTGCAATTCCTTTTGATTACTCAAGATGGCTATAGCAATGTTGTTGTGGTCACCATGGCACAGGAATGGGACTCCGAAACCTCAGTGTTGGTGGAAAAGTCCATGGCAGACCTTACAGGAAGGACACCGAGAATGGCCAAGTCTGTCTTGGGAGAGCAGGAGCTGAAAAATAACCACACATGGTCTGGAAGGTGTGGGGTGAACATTACTCCTTCATGCTCAGTGGCACAGCTCATGAGTTTAGGGATGCAAAGATAGTAAACTGTGCATAGAATGGTAGAGTTGGAGGGTATCCCAAAGGTCATCTAGTCCAGCCCCATGCAATGCAGGTAATCTCACCTAAAGCATCCATGACAGATGGCCATCCAAACTGCTTAAAAACCTCCAAGGAAGGAGAGTCCACTCCATGGTTGAACAGCTCTTACTGTCAGAAAGTTCTTCTTGATGTTTAGTCTGAACCTCCTTACTTGTAACTTGAAGCCATAGGTTCGAGTCCTGCCCTCCAGAGCAGGAGAAAACAAGCTTGCTCCGTCTTTCATGTGACAGCCCTTGAGATATTTGAATATGGCTATCCTATCTCCTCTCAGTCTCCTCTTTTCCAGGCTAAACATACCCAGCTCCAACCATTCCTCATAAGGCTTGGTTTAAAAACCCTTGATCATCTTGGCTGCCTTCCTCTGTACGTGCTCCAGCTTGTCAACCTCCTTCTTAAATTGTGGTGCCCAGAATTGGACACAGTATTCCAGGTGTGGTCTGACCAAGGCAGAATAGACTTTGACTTCCCTTCTCTTACGTACTTCCCTTGATCTGGACACTCTACTTCAGTTGATCCAGCCTGGAATAGCATTAGCTTTTTTTTGCTGCTGCATAACATTGTTGACTCATGTTAAGCTTGTGGTCCACTAAGACCCCTACATCCTTTTCACATGTACTACATGTACATGGCCAGGACATGGTGTGGAGGCTAAAGCCACAGAGCTGTAGGGAGAGGAGAAGGGGAGGTTTCTAGCCATTGCCAGCTGCATGGCTACCTGCTCTTTTGCTGGGCTTCTCTCCTCCTAGGTAGACCCATGGCAGTCAAATGAGCACTACTCTGGGCTTCTGCTGCCTTCACTCCTGAGGCCTGTCAGGGGGAGGGGGACATGGGTGAGGGTGGAGATCAAGGCAGGGCTTGGAATTGGATCAGTGGGGTTCCTGAGGAATCCCTAAAAGGGGGCTCTGAATCCAGTCTGGTTTCTCCAGGTCTTCAGTTGGGAGTGAGATTCTCAGCAGGGCCCTAAGCGAAAGAGGTCTCTCTAGGGTCTGGGTTGGATGGGATCCTGCTGTAAACACAAAGCAATGGCTTCTCTCTGGGGAAGACCTATGGGGGTGGACCAGGAAAGCTACAGCAAGCAGCACAAGGAGACAAGGCTGGTCCCAACAGCAGCTGGCTGAGGCTGGAGCTTCAAGGATACTTCCAGACATGGACAATTTAGCAGTGGCCTGTGGCAAAATGCAACCAAGTAACAGCCTGTAAATTTGGTCATTTTTGAGAGAGGGGGCTTTCAAAGGGAAAGCGTGTGAGGTATTTATCTTGGACTGTCAAATAATCTGTCCATTTAAATTAACTTTGACACCTTTATGAGTATTTTTCCTCAACCTCAGTTGACCTGCTGTTGGGTTTTAGGTTGTTGTTGCTGCTATGTTTGCTGTGCCCCCTGCCCCAATATCTCTGTTTTTTGCTTCCCAATAACCTAATCTATTGTTGGGCATCTCTAGTTGAAACGTTGCATTATGGGTGGTGTGCCATACACAGGCCAGGAATCTTGAGGTGCTTTAGTCTGGAATGGCTGACAGGGAAGGAGAACGGGGGGAAAGAGAGAGAGGGGAAAAGCACAATCCTATGGGGTGCACAGAGCTGCTCATCACTTACCTGTGCAAAGTTTTGGAAAGGAAAGTTCTGAATTGTACCAGAGATGGCAACTGCAGGCAAGCCCAGAGGCAGGGAGGAGAAGGGGCAGTTCAGCCTTTCTGCAAAACTGTTAGGGAAATGCTTGTGGAGGCATCAGACAGGCTTAGCAACAATGCCTGGTTGTCATCAACAAACTTCCTAAGGCTGTGCACACGTCATTTATTGAAGCCACTCCCCTAAAAAAGAACAATTCTTGGAACTCTAGTTTGTTAAGGGTGCTGGGAATTGCAGCTGTGTAAGGAAGGCCGGCGGTTCGAATCCCCACGATGGAGTGAGCTCCCATTGCTCGGTCCCTGCTCCTGCCAACCTAGCAGTTCAAAAGCACGCCAAAGTGCAAGTAGATAAATAGGTACCACTCCGGCAGGAAGGTAAACGGTGTTTCTGTGTGCTGCTCTCGTTCGCCAGAAGTGGCTTAGTCATGCTGGCCACATGACCCGGAAGCTGTACGCCAGCTCCCTCGGCCAATAAAGCGACATGAGTGCCGCAACCCCAGAGTTGTCCGCGACTGGAGCTAATGGTCGGGGGTCCCTTTACCTTTAAAGAGCAAACTACAGTTCCCACAGTTCTGTGTGCGTGTGTGTGTGCACACTTTAAACATATGGTGTATATGCAGCCTAAGACTGTGATCCCAGACGCACCTACTTGGCTGCCTGTGTTTAAAGCCTGCCTTTCATGCAACTGCAAAGCAAGCCATCAATGTGAGGACAGCCAGCACACACCACCAGAAAGGGGCTGGCTGGCTTTCCTGGGTTCAACGGTTGGGTTCCTCTGGAGCACTGTGGGCTACTTCCTGCCTACCTGGTGAACATTGAGAAGTTGCAACACTCCTTAGTCCAGGAAGTTACCCTCTTTGCCAAGGTTTGGAGGCACTAGATTGTTCTGTGTTCCAGTTGTGTGGTATCATGGGTGGAGAGCCAGGGCAGGGTCAGAGGGAGCTGAGCTCAAATTCCTTCTCAGCCATGGAAGTTCATTTGGGCTACCTGGTTGGCTCAGCCATACTTTCTCAACCTAGCTTATCTTGAAGGGTGGTTGTGAGGATAAAATAGTGAATCATGGACACTCGTCTTGCTCGACCTTATGCTCTCCAGATTCTGCTGGGCAATAACTTCCACCACCTGCCTGACCGCTGGCCAGGATGCCTGGGGCTGAGAGGGGTTGGGAGTCGAACAACATCTGGAGAGCATCAGTTTGGGGAGGACTGATGTATGCAGTTCTGGGCTTTCTGAAGGAAAAGTGGGAAGACAAATGTAACAAGTTATTAAAAAAACGAAACAGATGGCCAACCATAAATATGAACTCTAAAGATGCAACGAACCTGAATTGGCTACCAATTTGCAACCAGGCCGGTCTCATGGTTCTTGTTTAGATTCTTGTGTTGGTTCACAAAGTTCTAAGCAACTTGGGCCCAAAGTCCACCTGATTCCTTATGCTCTGATCTTCTGATGGGGTGCTTTTGGTGGTCCAACCTGGCCCTGAGGTTTCACCTGGCCTTTACGAGGCGCTGAGCCTGGCCCTGTGGAACACTGTGCCAACAGAGGTTCGGCAGGAGCCCATTCTCTGCTTGCTTTGAGTCAGCTTCTGAACAGGGGCGTAGCGCTGCTTGCTGGTGCCTGGGGCAGGTGAGCACAGTTGCCCAGCTCTTGCCGCCAGGTGGGTTCTCTCTTCACCCTCTGCTCTCACCAAGCTCCCGCTGCTGGAGTCAGGCAGGGCACAGGGATCTCTGTGGGGCTGGGGCGCCCAGTTTGTGCCCCCGATTCTGCACCTGGAGCCATGCCCCCCTAACACTACACCGCTGCTTCTAAAAACTGTATTACCCAGGCAGGCCTTTCGAACCTGCGATGGTCTTCCAACCATCTCTTTGATTTTTCTGTTGTAACGCTGTGTTTTTAATCTGTATGCTGCGTTGTGATATAGGAAAGTGCGGCTTATAAATATTTCAGCAGCTCTTGGCCTCCTACACAGGCCAGTTTTGCTTTTTGATCTCATTAGCTGCACTGTTGTAGTAGTGGAGAGACACCCCTATTACCTGCACAGGTGATGCAGTGACCATCCTGGCATGCTGCTAAGAGGGAGTTCTGCCACACACACACACACACACACACACACACACACACACACAGCTTGTTTTGCCCCAGATAAACTTTTGAGTTACCAGAAGACCAAAAAAATCACTTTATTTGTGGTCATTATCAGTGTATATATAAAAATCAGAGAAGGCTCTCTACTCTTTTCCCACTGCTAGAAACCAGGGGAGAGGGCGGGGGGGGGTAGAGGGAGAGGGAGAGGAAGAGGGAGAGGGAGAGGGAGAGGGAGAGCGCACTTCTGCCACCAAAGACTAAGGCCCAAACACCTCCTGCCCATCCTGTGGTGGAGAAAAAATTTGCTGGTTGCTGGTTGGGTCCTGCAAAGAGTTTTGGAACCTCTTAAGTAGGTATAAATACTTTCCGTTGAAAGGCTAGTCCTTGGGGGACATGCCAGGGAAAAGAGGCAAGAGTGAGTAGGAGAAAATATGGCACATTGCGGAACTTCCCTGACAAATTTAGCATTACTGAAAGACGCAGAGGTGCTGTTGGTGTTGTTTGGTGATGGACTCCTCCCCACATTTACCATTAATAAACATGGGGCACAGTCTGCTGGGAAGTTGTTATTGTAGGTGTTAGTGGAACTTGTGTAGGAAGGAGAGTGTCCAGGTGGATTGGGCCCTGTGGGTCAGACCTGCCTGTCTCCTGCACAGCATGTTTAAAAGTCCTCTGGGCACAGGGCACCCTGTCCAATGTGTTCCTCCCACTCTTTTGTGCAGAGATGGCTAAAGTGTAGCCGCCTTTCCCTGATGTTGTCAGACTACAACTCCCATCACTCTTGAACATTAGCTATGCCTTGGGCTGAGGCTGATGGGAGTTGGGAGTCTAGCAACATCTGGAGGGCCATGGGGGGGGGGTCACCCCTGCATTGGAGTTGCTGCTTTGGCCTTTGAGCCTAACAACCACTTCGTTTGAGCCTAACAACCAGCCTAAATGCCCACTTCGTTCCTAAACTGTTGAATTGCTTGATTAAACTGTTACAGGTGGAAGATGTGGGTGGAATGAGAGGGGTACATTTGTAAAATGTTTTTTCCCCTCCAGAGCATTTGCCCCCAAAGGTGCGGGTGCATAAAATCAGAAAAAGAGTATTTCGTGGATGAATACTGATGAACAGATGTCATAGGAACAGCAAAGTTATGATTAGTGATGTGTGTATTTAAACACACGACAGTGAAATTAGATGGGGCTGCAGACGCAAACCAAGAAACACAGGAAGGGAAGTACAGGGAACTCTTCTAGTTTAGGAAGATCCCATTAAGATTAAGATATCTGGCATGGGAAGTAAATTTGAGCACTTGGAAATGCCTGGAATAAAGCCTTTGGTGTCCCAAACTTTAGTGCCCCAAAAAGTTAGAGACTGACAATTTTAAATTTGGTTTTTCCAATATTCAGTTTTCCACATCCATATATATATTTATATCTCTCCACAAAGATTGCCAGGATTTTAATGTGCATTTCTTCTAAAATACACATTTTTGCATCCAATTTGCCTAATTTAAAAAAATATTTCCTCCCAATAGAATGCATTTTGTATATTTTCACATATTTGCATTTTTATACACATAATGTGTGTGTGTGTTTACTCTTTTGGTTGAAGGATTGCCTAACAAAAGTTAGAAAAGTTCTTTTCCATATATTTTGAGAAAGTGTGTAAGAAAGCATATATTAATGAAAACAATATGCAAAATGCAAAAATGCATTCTATCAGGGGAAATGGGATCCAGAAGCCAGCCAGGAGCCTCTGGCGAAACTGGCAAATATGGCAGGAAGGGAAGGAGTCTTTCCTATTGTTTGTTCCCAGCATTCAGTTATGTAGAGGTAGACTGTCCTTGAACATGGAGTCCCCCCATCAGCCTTCACAAGCATTGTTATACTTATCTGCCATCACTGGTCTAATCTTCCATGAAAACCATCTAAGTTAATTGCTGTTTGATAGCTGTGCTGTTAATGCCTTTAAAACACAGCCAGGCCAGCCTCATTTAAGGTTATCTCATTCAAGGGTGTATTTTCTTTTAAAAAAAACCTCCACCCTGTAAAATATAGCCCTTTTCAACAGATGCTTTTGGCAGTAATGAGTCTCTGCTAGTGGCACCACGGAACAATTAACAGCCTCTGTCTGCAGCTTGTTGACATGAACCTCACTCATTAGTGGTTAATTAGGCGACATTATTTAAATTGCATAGGTTGCATTAGCAGGTCAGGTGACTGCTCCCCCTTTTAGATTCGTGGGTGGGTGTGGGAACTGGACCTCAGCTGCGCAGAGAGGATGGCAAACATCCTTCCCTAGGCGATGCAGCCATCTCCCGGTTCCCTTTCCACCTGTCCTGCAATGCAAAGAAGAGGGAGCTTCAGCTGCCTGGCCCAACTCTCAAGACCCTCTTTTTTTCACGTGGCCCACCTGGCAAGGGCTGCTCTGGGGGGGCATGTCCATTGTCCCTTTTTAAATGGAAGTGTGGAGCGACTTCTCTTCCTCCATGTTTGTGAGGGTGTATTTCTCATGTTCTGCGCTGCGCTGGGGTGGCTCCCGAGGGGCGTGGTGAAGTTCAATGAAGAGCATGTAGATAGCAGTTCCGATAGCGGCCCCCACCATCGGGCCAACGATAGGGACCCACCAAAAGTGGTGGCCAGCCCTGGGGGAAGAGAGAGAGAGAGATTAACATTCCAGTGTTTTCAGTGCCTACATTTTTGTAGACCTGATTTGTGGTGGCTCCCCACTTCCACTATCAACTGCCTCTCCAGTGTGGTGAGACAATGTGGTACTGAAGCTTTGAATGGGCCACTGTGCTTTCAGTTAAAAGCTTCCTGTCCGTGGGAAAAGCTGCCTCTGGTAGAGCCTCGCCTGGTATGTCCCATGGAGGACCTTACGGTCTTCAAACAAAAACATCTTGGAGATCCCAGGCCACAGGGAGGTTAGGCTAGCCTCAACCAGAGCCAGGGCTTTTTCGGCCGTGGCCCCAATCTGGTGGAACGCTCTGTCACAAGAGACTAGGGCCCTGCGGGACTTGACATGTTTCCGCAGGGCCTGCAAGACAGAGCTGTTCCACCAGGCCTTTGGCCAAGGCACAGTCTGAACCCCTCCTTTTGTAATCCTCGCAGAACTCTAGCCCAATGGTTGCCATTAATTTGATTTTGAATTGATTTTAAAATGAATTGATTTTAGAATGCTGTGTTACTTTTATTGTTGATAGCCGCTCTGAGCCCGGCTTCAGCTGGGGAGGGTGGGATATAAATAAAATATTATTATTATTATTATTATTATTATTATTATTATTATTATTATTTCTCCTTGCTAGGTTGTTAAAGGCAAAGGAGCAGAGCCAGTAAATGGATCTGCAAGGGACCCACCTCGGCTACTGTCAATCTTCAGGTGCAGCCATGTGGGGGCTGGTTTGGCAACAGGCAGAGCTTGTTTTGAGGGGCACCCTGTTCTGTTTGCAGGCTACCATTGCTGATTAGAGCAGGAGGGGTGGAAACCCCTTTAACGTGGCACCTTGCAGCTGAAGCACTGCAACTTCTTACATTTTCAGGACCAGGCCTGAGAGTCTGCAGACAAAACCTCTTGAATTGGAAGTTTATCCTCATTTTGAAATGGAACAGAAGTCACAGTGCAATGATTCTAGCAGGGGTGGAATTGGGTAATAGGGTGCCCTGAGCAAGGACAAAATCTACACCCCCCCCCAATAGTTCTTATTTTCACAATAATTCCTTTTGGTACAGTTGCTTATTATTGTTTTGCACACCCTTGGCTCAGCACCCCGGGGGGGGGGGAGGGAACCACTCACACTTCCCTAAATCTGGCACTGATGCCAGCCACACTGGAAGCTGCGGGAACGACAGCACCAGGAGCACTGTTGGAAAGAAGCTCATATTCTTATTAGAGTCTCCCAAGAACAATTGACTGTTTCCTCTGCTCCGATTAGAAAGAGCTGCTTGTGTGTGTCCACTAGAGGTCAGCCTTGCAACACGATGGAAGCGAAGGCAGAGGCATCTTGTCCATCACTCTGAATTCCTCCACCTTCCTCTGTCTTTTCTGAGCCAGGGCACTCAGGGAATGTGCCTCTTATTTCAGTGAGCTTTTTAGAACCGCTCCTGCTTCCACAGCCAGGTGAAAGAGCTTCGGCTTAGTGTTTAGAGCGCTAAACCCCTGCCCCAGGTTCAGGTCTCAGTCTCTTCAGGTAAAAAGTAGCAGGTTAGGGAAACACGACAGCCAAGTAACATACAACTGTGTTTTAACATGGAAGTTCCTGGGAAGGGACCCCCACTGAACTGCTGCTGCTGCACCACAGACAGAACAAGCTGGAGTCTGCTATTCTGTAACCTGAACTCCAAAGCCAAGAACAAGCCTTGGAAATTGCTCAGGGTTTGTTTGGAGTGAAGCCAGTTCAAAAGACAAGACGGACTCTCTTGAGAAGTGTGCACCACCATGCTGGTCTTTCACATTAAACCATAGTTTGTTTTACATTATGGTTTAATGTGACATTAAAACTGGGCAATAATAATAATAATAATAATAATAATAATAATAATAATTTATTTATACCCCGCCCTTCCCGGTTCAAAAACCAGGCTCAGGGCAGCTAACAACAAATTCTAAAACACTAAATTATAAAAGCAGCATAAAATACAGTATAAAAACATGAATAACAATAAAATTCAAAAATCAATTAGATAATCCCCAGGGCTAGCTGGCTGAATTGGTCCTACTTGGGCCAGCGAGGAGGCCAGGGGAGAATTAGCTGTGGGGTCTCAGAGTGGGTGATCTTCATAAAAGGGGAGGGGGAAGGAAGAGAAGGGAAATAAAAGATCAGGCGGAATTCAAATTAAAGGCCAGGCAGAATAAGACGGCTTCAGATAGATAGATATAGATAGATATCCATGTGTTGATATCTATGGGGCAGAGTGGTGGTTCTGCCCATCTCTGCTTTTGTTGGCAGGGTGAGGAGCTACTTCAGAGTAGCGGCCAAGAGACTGAGCTATGAGTCAGAATCTCACCCTTGCCATGAACACGGATCTCATGAAGTGACTTTAAACTAGTCACTCTGCCTCCGACTGAGGGTAATAATGATGATTTACAGGATTGCTCTAAGGATTACAGCAAGGTAATTCACGTGAAAACAATGATAAGAACATAAGACAACCTATCTGGATCAGGTCAGTATCCTGTGGTCACAGTGGTTGACCAGATGACCGTGGGAAGCTTGCTGGCCAGATATGAGGGAAACATCCACCCTCCCCACAGACCCCACCTATGAGCAAAGCCATCATGGATCATGGCCCTTGATAGCCACATCCTCCATTAATTTGTCTAATCCTCTTTTAAAGCCATCCTAGCTTTTAAATGGTTCCACAAATGCAGTTTATCCTTCTGCCAAGGCGAGCGGACTTACGTGAAGACTTCAGGCCCCCATCCAGCAAAGTAGGTGAAGAGGCGTGGGGACAGGTCTCTGGCAGGGTTCATGGCACAGCCGCTGTTCCTGGCCATGGAAGACGTCAACAGTATGATGACCAGGCCAATGGCAATGGGCTCCAGCCCCTTCGGCACAGGAAGGTTGCACGGGTCAAAAACGGCAAAAATACCCAGGAGAAGGATGGCTGTCGACATCACCTGGTCAGTGAAAAGCAGGTGGATTCAGCCCAGGAGGTAGGACCAGCCCAAGAAATTTGGGTACCAGAAAATGGTGCCTCCCCCACCCTGGCCAGGGAAGAAGGGGTGAGTGAAGATCGACAACAGGAACAAGGGGCTGGGGGGGGGGAATTGACATTGGGATCTGCTGCCCCTGTGGATCCTGCCACCTGAAGCAGTTGCTTCACGGATTGGCCAGCCCTGGATGAAGTTTTACATCTGGATCCATTGTCTCAGTGGATCCTACCGCCTGAGGCAGTTGCCTTACTTGGCCTCATGGGTGGGCTGGCCCTGCCAGGAAGAAGTAATTTTTATTATTGAGGGAGTGCTCAGCCGCTCCCACAAAACTTTTAAAAGACTTCCCTTTAAAATGCCACCACAGTTAGCAGCTGCCAGGGGCACTGTAGGCAGCCTCGCCAGCTGCCTATGCATATAGGAAAGGCCAGCTGAGGACACTGTGGGGTCCTCAGGAAGTGCAGGCACCTGGGGAGGCTGCAGACCACCAGAGAGATGGTTTGCAGAATTAAAGAGAGGATCCTCAACTACCTCAAAAGTAAGGTAAGCAGAACAAAATGCCCACACACTGTAGTTTTTGAATAAAACGTCTTATTAATTGATGTGAAATGTTTGACAAGAATGTAGAAGAAAAATTCAGCACAGCACCAGTGGCTTCAGCCCTCCTCCCTGCCCCCAAATAGTGATAGAAAAGTTGCATGAGCAGAGCTGGCCCCCAATGAGCCCTCGATACGGGACTACCCCTGTGCCCAGTTTCCAGTACACAAGGTTGGAATATCCCTGGCCCAAGACTTGGGGTGTGGGGAGGTCCTACAGAGACTTGGAGCCCCCAAAGGTGGTGAAGATTCCAGCTTCCTCATACCCAGTTTTACACCAGAGTTCACCCAAATGAAAGCTCTTTTGTGGGCAGACTCTCACATTTTTGCTCTCTTGCTCCACTTTGTGCTGACCAGCTTCCAAATCCATTTTGCAGGGCTGGAAAAATAAAATTGCCCTGGAATTTGGCACAGCTGGTTCCTGGGCAATGGAAATGTTATTCCAGCCCTAAAGTCCTGTTTCCACCCCATGCCTTCCCAGTGGCTCAGGTGTGTAATAGCAGTAGGGAGTCACCTTACCCCATATATGCCCGCTCAACTGCTTCAGCCTGCAGAACTGGCACTGTTAGAGGTGCCACATCATCCCCATTTCACACACGGACATAGTTCATCATTTAGTGTGGCAGAGCCTGCACTTCGGAACTCCCTGCCTATTGACACCAGGCAGGTGCTTTGCTTTACTCTTTTTGGCGCCTGCATAAAATGTTTTCATTTAGGCAAGTCTCTCCAGTCAGGTAGAAGTTACATGTGTTTTATCTCTCTTTAGCCACTGTAGATTTCAATTCGTCTGTTTAATGCTTTTATGTACTTGATTTTATGGGACACGGGTGGCGCTGTGGGTTAAACCACAGAGCCTAGGACCTGCTGATCAGAAGGTTGGCGGTTCAAATCCCCGCAACGGGTGAGCTCCCATTGCTCGGTCCCTGCTCCTGCCAACCTAGCAGTTCAAAAGCACCTCAAAGTGCAAGTGGATAAATAGGTACCCCTCCGGCGGGAAGGTAAACGGCGTTTCCGTGCGCTGCTCTGGTTCGCCAGAAGCGGCTTAGTCATGCTGCCCACATGACCCGGAAGCTGTACGCTGGCTCCCTCAGCCAATAAAGCGAGATGAGCCACAACCCCAGAGTCGGTCACTTTACCTTTACTATACTTGATTTTAACTGTGTTTCCCCCCACTCAGAGAATCTTAATATTTTATTTTAATTTTATGTAGACTTCTTGTTTTACAATCAAGTGGTATATCAGTTTTGTTAAATAAACACACGAAAGCACTTAATAGCGGAACCCTCAGCTCAGTCACTCCAGCTCCCTCAATCCTGCCTGCTAGATGCCCGGCTGAGCCACACAGGAGACAGGTTTAAATGGGTGAAATTACCTGATCTGAAAATCCATTTGCCACGGACAGATACTCCTCTGGGTAGGTCGCAAAAATATGTGCCGTTTTATTTACTCCTGTGACGGTCAACTTTCCCCCAGTGTAGAACATCAATAAATCTAAGGGGAAATGATGGTTAATAAATATTAAGCATTTAAACAGCATATTTCAGAGCACCTCATAGAAGGGTACTGCAGGTCCTTTTGTGCTCTTGAGGCATTGCTTTCTTGCAACTAGCGTGAAGTGAAATTGAAAAGTCTGCTTGGTACACACACACACACACACACACACACACACACACACACACACACACTCCCCCCCCATTAAAACTCTTCAGGTGGGGCACATTCCTGAACTAACCACTGTTCTCGCCTTGCGGGAGAGGGGAGATTTAATTACTCATTTCCTCTTTGCAGCCAGAGCAATTGCTGAGCATTTTTAATGTTTTTGTTTATTATAAATAATGATCAGAATTATTTTTTTATGACTGAAAGGAGGAGACCTAGAATTAAAGCCTTCCGCCATCCACAGCAGGGAACAGGGGCTGACTAACCAAGGGTCAACCCAGGAATGTTGGCCATGGCAGAGGACAGGAGACAAGCAGGGGCAAAAGTCTCTTTAAAAGAAAGGGGCAAGGAGGAGCCTTCTAATGAAAGAGACAGATCCTCTGAAAAGAGGAGTTTGTTGCTAGTCCACATGGGACAAGTGGAGGCAAAAATTAACTAACTAATTAAGTAATTAATCTGTCACATCTGAAGAAAGGCAGGAAGAACTCACACACTATGGCAGAAACCTTTTATAGATTTTCTGGGAATAAAACAAATGAGAGTGAACAACGAGTGAAGTTAATTCTGCAGAAAATGGCTTCAGTGGAAACAAACCCCAGTCTGCAAACTTGGACCGCCCTCTCATACCCTCCAACATTTCTCCGATGAAAATAGGGACATCTCATTCCATAATGATAATTTTACTATTTATACCCCGCACATCTTACTGGGGTGCCCCAGCTACTCTGGACAGCTTCCAACATATATAAAAACATAATACATTAACATTAAAAAACCCTTCCCTATACAGTGGTACCTTGGGTTACATACACTTCAGGTTACATACGCTTCAGGTTACAGACTCTGCTAACCCAGAAATAGTACCTTGGGTTAAGAACTTTGCTTCAGGATGAGAACAGAAATCGCGCGGCGGCAGCAGGAGGCCCCATTAGCTAAAGTGGTGCTTCAGGTTAAGAACAGTTTCAGGTTAAGAATGGACCTCCGGAACGAATTAAGTTCTAACCCGAAGTACCACTGTACAGGATTGCCTTCAGACAGGTTGGGGGCAGGATAATGCCATATCCTCAAACATTTCTCCAGTGAAAATAGGGACATCCTAAGGAAAAGTGGGACATTCCAGGATCAAATCAGAAACTGGGACGGCTTCTCTAAATCCAGGACGTCCCTGGAAAATAGGGACACTTGGAGGGCTTGGCCTTTCCCTCCCTTCTTTCTCAGAAACATGCTTTTCTTTACCTCCCCCCACTTTGTACACGTGTTTGTGTGTGTGTGTGTGTGTGTGTGTGTGTGTGTGTGTTGTTTAGTTCAGCATCAAGTCTGATGAAGCATGATTAGCATCCTAATAAGAAGAGTTTGGATTTGATATCCCGCCTTTCACTCCCTTTATGGAGTCTCAAAGCGGCTAACATTCTCCTTTCCCTTCCTCCCCCACAACAAACACTCTGTGAGATGAGTGGGGCTGAGAGACTTCTGAGAAGTGTGACTAGCCCAAGGTCACCCAGCAGCTGCATGTGGAGGAGCGGAGACGCGAACCCGGTTCCCCAGATTAGGAGACTACCGCTCTTAACCACTACACCACACTGGCTCTCTAATAAGAAGAATATTAATTAATAAATGATACCCGCTACTGTTACTTCTGTTTGTTTTCTAATGGCACAACAGGGTTACCTCTAATGATTATCCCTGCAAAGTGGATGGATACCAGCTTTCATATTTGATAGCTAAACCTTATTTCTGGGCAAAATCCCTAAAAAAGTATTGTTGCATGCCACCTCAATCTCTGAGTGGTGTGAGATTCCAAGGTTTCCAGGAACTTACCCAGGGTTCAGTTTCCTAAGAATGAGGGGCAGTGGAGACTCTGGTGTCTTTAAGATATATGGCTTATTAACACACATATATACAACTTCACAGCATTAATACCCTGAAAGGTCTTGCTTCTCCCATAGTCACAGAATCTGATTCCAGCAGAGGTCAAGCATGCCTCTGACACCCAGCTTCTGCCTGCAGTCTGCTCTCAGCTCACACACCAGCCAAGTGACGATGGGCAAAGACCCCCATTTGCCCACTAGTACAGATGCTGGTGGCGCTGTGGTCTAAACCACTGAACCTCTTGGGCTTGCCAATCAGAAGGTTGGCGGTTCGAAGCCCTGCGACGGGGTGAGCTCCCGTTGCTCAGTCCCTGCCAACCTAGCAGTTCGAAAGCACATCAAAGTGCAAGTAGATAAATAGGTACCACTCCGGCAGGTACCCCGGCGTTTCCGTGCGCTGCTCTGGTTTGCCAGAAGCGGCTTAGTCATGCTGGCCACATGATCCAGAAGCTGTCTGTGGACAAACACCGGCTCCCTCGGCCAATAAAGCGAGATGAGTGCCACAACCCCAGAGTCATCTGCGACTGGACCTAACGGTCAGGGGTCCCTTTACCTTTACAGACCACTAGGGTTATTAACTCACAAAGAAACTTGCCTGACTAGTTCAACAATGGAATTCTCCTTTAAATTTTAACCCTTGCTAGATCTACGAGGACCTCAGGAATTAGAAGGGACTCAGTCATAATACAGACTGACCCCACAAACTCACAACACTATTTTGCATTGTCCACTAGCCTGTCATTTCAGTTTGGGCACCTCAAAACACATCCAAACTGGCAGGAACTTCTTCTTTTTTTTGGACAGGAGGGGTCAGAAGCTACCTTGAAATGACATGAGATTCCTACAAGAAATTTCAACTTTTGAGTGTTTGCCAAAAGGTTTCAACCTAAGCGTAACTTTGGTCTTTGTTGGGAAGTTTCCTGAGGAGGAGGAGACTGGTCTCTTCCACTCACCGTAGTTGATCCAATAGACAGCAGCTGCTCCAACAAATGCGCCAAGAAACTGTGCTATGACGTAAACAGGGAATTTAATCCATCTTATCTTCCCCGACAGGCACATGGCAAAGGTAACGGCTGGGTTTATGTGACCACCTGAAAGAAGGAAGGTAGGGAGAAGAACAAGGGTTGGGAATAATTCTTATATGCAAGTTTTTATGAATCAGATATTTCCCTTCAGTAGATTTATTTCTTACTTAATCATGGCATTTATAGCCCACCTTTTCCCCCAAGAAGCTCAAGGTGGCATACATGGTTCTCCCTATCTTTGTTTCATCCTCACAGCAACCCTGTGAGGTAGGTCAGGCTGAGAGGGAGAGTGACGGGCCAAAGGTCACCCAGTGGTTTCATGTCCTATCCTGACACTCTAATCACTACACCACTACTACAACTAGAGGTTTGGTGAAATAGTATAGTACCAATACTTTGGCCACCTCATGAGAAGAGAAGACTCCCTGGACAAGACCCTGATGTTGGGAAAGAGGGAGGGCACAAGGAGAAGGGGACGACAGAGGACAAGATGGTGGGACAGTGTTGTCGAAGCTACCAACTGCGGGAGGCAGTGGAAGACAGGAGTCTTCTGGTCCATGAGGTCACGAAGAGTTGGACACGACTAAACGACTAAACAACAACAAATCATAGTACCAGCTTCATTTTGGGTGGCCACGTGGGTGATCCTTCTCCTGGTTCCATTCCAAGCCCAGTCCTTGGTGATCGTTCTGACACAGAAAGCCACAGACAGCTTGGAACCGAGGCATTTGATGGGTTGACCTGAGCACCTGCCCAGACATGGTGATGGCTTTGGGCATGGGGAACACCCATATAACTGTGCCACATCTGCTGAGCTCTTGCTTGGAGGCCATGCTGGCACCCGGATTGCAGAAGGCCCTTCCCCCTTAGTCTCAGGTTCGACTGGCGCCAACTCTGCATGGCTTGTCAGCACAAGTTAAAAGCAAATTTATCTTCCCACCTGCCTTTGTCTAAATTGGCACTGCTGGAGGAGGGCTGCGCCCTTGTTGAACTTAATGAATGAATGAATCTTTATTTGCTTCATTGCCATCGGCCATAGCAATAAAACAACAATACGATATACAAAGAATAGAAATAAAAAGTCAATTATATAAAATACATTTTAGGGTTTTGAATCAATAGTCAAATAGTGGATCTTACTCTGATTGCCCCAGATAAAAATCTGTTGAACTTGTTGGTTTGCTGGTGCTACTGCTCTTTTAAGGTTCTGTTATGTTTTATTTATAATTTGATTTTATTACATTCTAGGCATTATCAGTGCTTTTTTTTACCTAGAAAAAATGGTGCCAGTACTCACCACGAAGTTGTTACAGTAAGTGCCACATTTTTAACATGGGGGGGGGGGGCCGAAGGTGCTGGGACTGTGTCCCCTTGAGGACCCCCAGAAAAAAAGCACTGGGCGTTATATTTTTTACATGATATCCTGCTCCAGGATTGGATTTTATGAAGAGCAGCCTAGAAATGCCTCAGATAAATAGATACACGCAAAGCAACCATAACTGAGGTGGTATACGGCCCCTGACTTTAATGAAATGTTTCTGATAACAGTGACCTTTGCCTGTCAAAGGGGAGCTGGGAAGAAGGGGCCCCCTCTACGTGATTCCTCTGTTTGCTTGCACTGGGGGGTCAGGGTGTTATCTCAGGCACCCGAGAGCACCTCTGATGTATCATGAGCAGCAAACACAGATAACAAGAGTTGGATAAAGGCCAGCATTGTAATGTCTCCAAAATGGTGTGACCCGCGACGAGCCACGGGGGAGTTAATTCTGAACTTTGGATTATTTCTTCTTTCACATTCTTCATCTAAGGATTGATGTCTGCTGGTTCTATGTGCCGAAGAGGTGGCTTTTCAAATTTCCTTGCCTTTTGGTTTTCTTTTAATCTGAATGAACAATTTTCTTCTCTTTCAGCAATTGCAAATATGGGCAGCGCATGGTAAGGTTTGGAGTAAGGAATTCATTTACTTTGTCATGAGGCCTTGTCCATCACTGACCGTTCCTGTCAAAAGAATGATTGTGTCTCCTGCTATGGATTCAGCCATTGAGCAGCACTGATGTGAAATGATTGACTGGTATGTGAGTGAAATGAGGGAGGGGCCACGTGCCAATGGTGGGCAGGGCCACAGGCAAAGAAGAGCAGGGCCAAGGGGAAGCTGACTTTATACAGTAGGCTGCATTCCAACCACACACAAGGCAGAGGCGTCCATGCTGGACCTGTTCGCATTCTCTCCATCCTGCACCCAGGCAAGCATGAGGTGCTGGCCATTACTGTATTTTTTGCTCTATAAGACTCACTTTTTCCCTCCTAAAAAGTAAGGGGAAATGTGTGTGCATCTTATGGAGCGAATGCAGGCTGCGCAGCTATCCCAGAAGCCAGAACAGCAAGAGGAATTGCTGCTTTCACTGCGCAGCGATCCCTCTTGTTGTTCTGGCTTCTGAGATTCAGAATATTTTTTTTTCTTGTTTTCCTCCTCCAAAAACTAGGTGCGTCTTGTGGTCTGGTGCGTCTTATAGAGCAAAAAATACGGTAATTCCAAGGAGGCATTCCAACCAGGCAAAAGCAGTTGAGGGGGGCAGAGAAGAGAACAGATGAGGCACTTGGCCTGGAAGCTCAGAGAAAGACTTCCAGGGCTGTCTTGATCTCCTGAGTTTGCTGTTCTCCACCCCTAGCTCAGTCAGTCTGAAACATCCTGATAGTGTCAAACCATTTGCAGAATGGAGAAGGGGAAGGGCTGTAGCTCAGGGGCAGAGGCCCTCATTTTGTAAAAAGAAGCTCCTGCGGCTAGGAACGATTTCCACTTGGGAGAGTGGCTGGAAGAACCATGGCTAGTCAGCTTAGGCAACTGTGGGAGAGATGGGTGGACCAGTGTCCTGACTCAGTATAAGGCTGTCCACTCTCTCTGGGCCTTGGAGCCCTACATGGGAAGAGGATGAGGATTGCTGTCCTCTCCTCCTTTTGCAGTGTGCTCCTGTGGGTTAAACCACAGAGCCTAGGACTTGCCAATCAGAAGGTCGGCAGTTCGAATCCCCGCGACAGGGTGAGCTCCCGTTACTCAGTCCCTGCTCCTGCCAACCCAGCAGTTCGAAAGCACCTCAAAGTGCAAGTAGATCAATAGGTACCGCTCCGGCGGGAAGGTAAACGGCGTTTCCGTGCACTGCTCTGGTTCGCCAGAAGCGGCTTAGTCATGCTGGCCACATGACCCGGAAGCTGTATGCCGGCTCCCTTGGCCAATAAAGCGAGATGAGCACCGCAACCCCAGAGTTGGCCACGATTGGACCTAATGGTCAGGGGTCCCTTTACCTTTACCTAACATGCAAAATAGCCCTTGCTGAATGTGGACATCAAACATGAGCATCGAAACATAGAATTGTAGAGTTAGAACAGTGGTTCTCAAACTTTTTTCTCTGGGCCACACTTTCAGAATAAAAAATTGCTCATGCCACACGCTCACTCCCAGTCTAGTGAGTCCATGAACCTCACCCTGGCCCATTATCTGCATGTGACCTTTGCAAAGCGGCAAGAAAACAGATGAGGCAAATATTTTGAAAAATGACACTTTGACAAGCAGGTGTCATTAGGTAGCTGTTTTCATTTGTGGCATGTTAGAAATTATGGCTTACACAGTGGCTCTTCTTCTTCACAAACTGTTGATAAGACTTCTGTGACGCTTTCTTTGTTGTTAAATGGTGTGCAAATTTGTTGTCCCAATCATTATCTTAGAAGAGGCACCCAGGAGAAAATGACTCTTCCAATATTGGTATTTGCTGTGTGCAGTTATTATAAATACTTGCATTAAAACAGTGTTTTAAAAATCTGCATCAGTGTGTGATAAGTTGACTAATCAACTGAAGTGTTGCAGCTTTGCACCAAATACTCTTGTTGGTGTGTGGGGGTGTCAACATTTAATTAGGAGTAGGGGAAAATGGAGATCACCATACAATCTGTGCATATGTGCATGAAAAAAATGGTGATGCATGGATTTGGAAAGGCAACATCTAAGTTGCAAATATTTAGTACAAAAGCCATTAAAAATGCCATCAAAACAGAAGCCCTCTCTCCCTCCCCCCGAATTTTGCAAATACAATTTCTTACAAATCTTGGCTGTTTCTGAACATTTTGTATGACCTTTTAAATCCACAACTCTTTCTTTCTTTCTTTCTTTCTTTCTTTCTTTCTTTCTTTCTTTCTTTCTTTCTTTCTTTCCTTGCAACACAGTTTACCACCAGCTCTCTTCTGAGTTACTTCTCCTTTGATAACTCCAACTATAGGTTCAACCAGGACCAACAAAAGCACTTCTTCCTCCCTCCCCCACCTATGGATTCTTTTTGTGAATTCCTCCTGGATGGTTTCCACATCCAACCCCACAGCATCATATTGCAGATTATTTTCCAGTGAGTCACCCATTATAATGTGGATGCCTTTCTTGGTATTATTCCTGCATTTATTTCTTACGCAACAGGGGTGTTTTTTGTTTGTTTTGTTTGTTCCCAAGGGGCAACACTTGCCTGCTGTCTTTAATTTAAATCAATCCACTCATTTTCAATGGATTGATGTAGCCAGTTTACTGATTACACAGTGCAGCCTTACTAAATATTTTCACTGTTGTAGACACTATGAAAATAGCCATAAGATTTGTACTGTATAACATTTTCAAGTGTTCAAAGTGCTTCATTCACTGTTACTTACAGAAGCTCTGAAATAGACCTCACAACAACCCTGTAAGGTAAATCAGGATCATTATCCCACCCTCTTTATTACAAAAGGGGGGGGGCTGAGCGGAGAAAGGGGGCTTTGGCTAAGGCCACTGAGTTTTCTTAAGGCAGAGATAAGATGAAAGCTGTGAACCTCCTGATCTGTAGTCTGGTTTCTTAGCCACCACTCCATCCCACCAGCTCTCCTCCAACTTCTTTAGCAACACGGTGAAAATGTCAGCTTACCAGAAACACCTCCGGCGATATAGATGGCGATAGTGACAGCCATGGCAAAGCCAAGGGATATCATTGGTGCTCCACCCAATTCACCTCTGCTAAGGACAGACTGCGCAACCGCGCCACATCCCAGGGCCTGAAGTTTGGGAGAGAGCGAGAAAGAGAGAGAGGGTGGGTGTACGCTCATGGTTTATAATGTTAAGGAAGGGTTAAGGAATGGTTTTCATAATGTAGTTGAACACATTACGTTCTACTTTGAATGGTCATAAAGCATTATTAAAATGTGACACTAGAGGGTGCTGCAGAGTAATCAGGAACCAGCAGTAGGCAAAGTGTGTTTTGACGATTAAAACAGGTAAGAAATGCTTTTATTTTACAAGTAGGCCCTGTGAAGTTTTATAAGGATATATCTAATACTGTTCTAATAGCATGAAATACCGTATTTTTCGCTCCATAAGACGCAAGTGACCATAAGACGCACCTAGTTTTTTGAGGAGTAAAACAAGAAAAAATATAGTCTGAACAAAACAGTGGATGTATGATTTTTGTGGTTCATGCTGTGGCCACAGACATGTGATTTGACAGTGAGTTTGGGGTAGCCCAATGCAAAAATCCTGAGAATCCATGTGGATCCACGCCTTGTAACCACGTTTTTGCGCCATTGCAGCCCCACAAAACAGTGGGTGTGTGGTTTTTTGGGTGCAGGCTGTAGCCATGGACATGCTATGTGATCTGATGGTAAATTTGGGGTGACCCAATGCAAAAATCCTGAGGCTCCAGGGACCACGCATTCGCTCCATAAGATGCACAGACATTTCCCCTTACTTTTTAGGAAGAAAAAAGTGCGTCCTATGGAGTGAAAAATACGGTAGGTCAGTGTAGACCCAGCCAGAGGGAGAGAAAAGCATGCTGGTTACAATCTGCAGCACTGCTTTTGGAAGGCCAGGCAGCCAGAATTTCATCCTCTTGCCAAGATGCTAAAAAATGGGCACATCACCTGCAAGTGTACTTCTGCATGGATCTTTTTTTAAAACCTCTTTTCCCATCAAAGGCATGTTGTGCATATCACATACATCCTTTGTCATTAAAACAAAAAAATGAAGTCAGTTCTTTGAAGCAATTTGCCCACTGTGGGGCCCCTGCTGTATTTGTGAATACCTTGTTCCTCTTGACAGGGTGGAGAATTTTTGGAAAGGGCTACTCATTATTTGCAAATGCAAACTTTAACTTAAGCATTATTTGATTAAGTGGCATATTTTAATTGGTGAGTCTGCAGGGGAAGGAGGACACAGGGTTTTTGGGGGGAGATTTTGGTTCCGGCATCTCAAAAAGTCACCTATATTTAGGTTTTGGTGGTATGCAAATATATTTCAGCTGTAGTCAATTAATTGATCAAAAGACTGCATTTTAATCTACCTCGAATTGTTTAATCTATTGTCAAGCCTTAGAAAAAGCTATATGAAGCAAATAAAAGTGAAACCTGACCCTTTTAGCCAGCTTAAAAGCTTCCTTGGGAAATGAAAGGGGAAGTGGAGGCCAGGAAATCCTGATGCCAAGGTCAACCGAGAAAAATACAGTTTAAAATGAGAGATCCTCTATAAACCATTTGGTTTCTCTGATAATTTATCTTCCCCCAGCCCCACCCTGACACTAAACATTTCATGAGAATTTAGTCTGTTTTATTAGATGTCAGTGGAACCCATTCCTCTTTGGGGTCTCCTCACGACCCACATTCAGGGTATTATTAATGGACTCCACTATAAAAATGTCCCTTCTCACGTTCAAACTTCTGCCCAGTTCAGAGCAGCCCCAAAGCATGGAACTCTCTGTAAAACTGGGCTGCATTTCACTTCCTTAAATGTTGTGAAAACAAGGGTGAATTTGACATTTCCTTCCCTAATTACAAGCAGTGATTCAGACTTTTTTCCCTCCGTAAAAACAACAGCAGAGCTTTTCTTTGTGGCAAATGTTGAGTCCAGAGGGGTGGGAATGGGGCTGCTATTAGGGATGGCAACGAGGGTTTTAGTTTGTTTCAGCTACCAAATTTACACTTCCCCAAACAATACACAAATCACAACACAGATACCCTTTGAAATTTACACTTCTCTGAATTTTGCAGCTTAGATATCTGACAAAAATGAATGCATACAAAACTGTATAAAATGCATATATTGGTGAAAATGACATAAAATGTATTTTTAAAAAATGCACACAAGATGAGTTTATTGAGAGTAATGCCCACTAAAACACTGACAATTTTTCATGGGATTTTTTGCAAACACACACACACACGGAAATGTAATCAATTGAATTTTAAGTTTGGGGAAATGAGAAACTGAAGAGAATCCATAGTTGTTGCCGTGGACACAAAACCACCCTACATGCCCAAGCAATTCCTTGCTATAGTTTGAGGCAGCCCTGTTTTCAGGGGTGCTACTGACACGGCATATGGCCTGAGATCCACACTTCCAGAAACCTTTTCTGCTGCTGCACCTCAGAATCCTTTGTGACATTGCAAGAGAGCTCCCATTCATTGCACTGATGGTTGTGCAAGAGAAATTGCAGGTGGCGAGAGGTGAGGAGATGCAGTGCCAACATGGATAGTCCCACTCAGGCACAGTGAAATTGGCATAATCTGAGTAAACCAGCCCCTCTTTGCTGACTTTGTCAGATGCTGGCCTGGCAGTTATGCCCCACACAATTCCCCCCAGCTCCATTTCCTTGTATTATGTGACATTACACAAGAGGCAACCCGATATGCAGATAATCTCTTCTCAGGTGGTTTGGATTGTGCTTGTATAACACTTACTTTCCCTCTTCACTAAAGGGAAAAAAGGCAATTTCCTTCTTTGTCGCCTGCAGTCGCCTAGAGTAGCCTCTAGAGGAGTCATTTACTCTAGAGTAGCCTCTAGAGGAGGCTATAACCATATGGTGCTGGAGGAGACTCTTGAGAGTCCCATGGACTGCAAGAAGTTCAAACCTCTCCATTCTGAAGGAAATCAGCCCTGAGTGCTCACTGGAAGGACAGATCCTGAAGCTGAGGCTCCAAGACTTTGGCCACCTCATGAGAAGAGAAGACTCCCTGGAAAAGACCCTGATGTTGGGAAAGATGGAGGGCCCAAGGAGAAGGGGACGACAGAGGACGAAATGGTTGGACAGTGTTCTTGAAGAAACCAACATGAGTCTGACCAAAATGCGGGAGGCAGACACTGCAGTTCAAAACAACAGATTGGCGCATGTGGCTCTCCAAGGTTTCTGGGCCAGGCTTGTTCCTGGGGTGCCTGGGCCTGGGATCTCCTGGGCCTCCTCTATCCTTGGCAGGAGCTATGGCAGGCAAATCTGCACCTTTTTGCCCTCACTTCCCAGTTCTCATTATCCTTGCCGTTTGATTTTCCGCCCAGCGATAAATAAGAAAGATGGTAGCTATTAAGCGGAAGCTTAGCTTGGCAGCCTGTGAGGATGGCCGCCTCTGCCAAAACGCCCTTGCCTCACAAGACACCGGATCCGTGTTTTTGTCTGGAAGGTGGCTAACCTCACATGGAGGAAAACAGTTCTCCCTCGGAGGAGGGAGCAGCTCCCTTATCCCCTAGGAAGTAGCCGTGTTTCATCGGCAGCCCACTCATGCGGGAGATTAAAGACCGGTGTCTTTTTCTTTCGGCTGCTTTCAGGAAGTATGTATTAGTGTTTCCAAGATACATAAATATGACTTTCCAGTATAAATAGGGTTTTTCTAAGAGGTCTGGGCCCTCAGCCTTCGGAAGAACAGGGCCTCCCTGGGTGGCCTCCGCCAGGCTGGTAATTCCTTTGGCCTCCATTCTCACTTCGTTAAATGGGGATTAGAGAGACAGCTACCCTACAGTTGGGATCCGCCTTTGCCAGAGGATGTTTGATGTTAGAGAAGCTGACTAGAAACTGAGGCAGAAATGTCTGATAATAAATAAAGTCACCTTCTCATCCTTTCTTAAGAAAGGCATTTGGGGCTGGATTAATGAATAAGCTAAGGATGATTTAGAGTCCTGGATAAATTGTCTTATGACAAGAAAGGCCCATGGTGTACATTCATTTTATCCCATTATCAACTTTGGTCTAACAGGTGTGGTAGGTTTTTTGGAGAACCACAGAAATACTCAAAACCTATTTAACCAGAGATCATAGAATCACAGAGTTGGCCTTGTAAGCCACTTAGTACAGTGCATTGCAAAAAAATGAGAATCCTCGTTATTATGTATTTTTACATGGCTGTTCATTTGTATATATTTTTTTAAAAATTATATGTATGTTTTATGATGGCCTATATTTGTAATGCCTAATAAAGGTTTGGTGAAGTAAGTAAGCATTGCAAGAAAAGGACAACGATTTGCATACATTTGCATGTGCATAGATGCAAATTCTGAAATAACAATATAAATGAAAAAGAGATACAATATATCTCACCATAGAAGGGTTGCCCAGATGACCCTTATGGCCCCTTCCATTTTATGGTAGGATTGCTATACATCTAGAATTTCTCAGACATAGACGATATTCTGCTCTTGCTAGGAGCGTTTGGACAGAAATTGCTTTAATGTCCGGGAAAATCTGGATGTATGGAAGCCTATTCTATGGATTTTCACCTTTTAAAATATGGCAGCCCTATTCTATGGGTGTTCTTGGACTCCAGCTCCCATCAGCTCCTTCTGGCATGGCCATTGGTCAAGGATGCTCCTGGCCAGGAATGATGGGAGAGCCAGTGTGGCACAGTGGTTAGAGTGCTGGACTAGGACCTGGGAGATGGGGCTTCAATCCCTGCTTAGCCATGAAACTCACTGGGTGTGAACTTGGGCCAGTCACAGCCTCTTAGCCTAATAATAGAGGACACAATTGATTCAGCAGTGCAGAAATGCCTGAATGAGTGAACATACTGTCCAAATGATGGTGGGATGACGATGTACACACCATAGGCAACAACTGTGCTCTCTTTTCACCTTCAGCTCTTTCAAACCTGCCATCCGTCTGCAGCCTAGCAAGAGAGCAATCTGAGAAATATCCTCTGCAACACTGCCAGGGGACTGGGGAGCAGGGCCTGCAGCTGGCCATGCGGACATTAACAGTGACTGATACGTGGTGAGATTTGACCCACTTCTCTTGGTGCGGGTGACACATAACTCTCTGGTAAAGTACTGAATTGGCTGGACAACTAAGTGGCTCTTCCTTGATAATTAGTTATATATTTATCGTTTCTCTGCTGCATATTAGAAGGTAATCAAACTTGCAGTAATAAAATGGGCCAGATCCATTATTCCATAGGTCTCCAAGGAACACAATCAATACCCTTTCAGGTTCAAATGGATTTCCCTTCATTTGGTTTCAGGCCCAAGTTTAATTTATATATTAAAAAAGCAGCTTGGAATTAAAGATGGCCATTTAAGTACTCAAAAACTGTGGATGTAAGCCATACCAAGATTGCTTTTTCAAAGACCGCTTCCATTCAAATGGCAGAACGTGAGATTATTGCTCAATCACAAAATGTATGTTCCATAAGGCGATAGCCAAACTCTATACATTTTAAAGCTTTTAAAATTCATAAAGATCTGGTTCTAATTGCACATGGAAAATGAAACCTGTACACTCAAAACATTATGACTGTGTTTTTGTAAAAAAGAAAGATAGCTTTTACATGTAAAAACATTAAGTAGGAATAGAAGTGTTAAAATAGTAAATAGAAAAGGAACTGGCTGTATTTTCTCATGTGGATGAGTTCTGATGGTTTGTGCCTGGATGCTAAAACCCTTTTTTATAGACAGGCAAGCATTACAAGGAGTTGGAAAATGACCACTGTGCACTATGGTGGCCATGAGTCCCACAATCAGAACAGCAAAGAAGCTTTGTTATACATTGTCTTGACATTATATCCCAGATTAAAGTCTCATCCTTCCTCCGAAAAAAGGTGGAAGTGGTTACCTGCTGTTTACCATCACAACAATCAGGTGAGATAAATTGGGCTGGGAGGGAAAGAGGCCAGGTGCCAAATCAGGGTTGATTAAACTACGGTTTCTTAATTGTTCATTTGTTTGAACCCTGCTTAGCAGCTGAACTATTGTTTGTTTACTGGTAACAAACTGTGATCTAAAGCCATGATTTGCTCTTGGCTTACAGATTTTGGTTTTTACTAAAGAACACAAGAAGAGCCTGCTGGATCAGGACATCGGATCATCTAGTGCAGTATCCTGTTCTCACAGTGGCTTCCCAGATGCCTGTGGGAGACCCGCAAGCAGGACCTGAACACAAGACCACTCTCCCCTCCTGCAGCCTCTGGCAACTGGTATTCAGAAGCATGCTGCCTCCAAGCATCTTTCAACTGTGGCCTGGTGTTGTGCATGGATCCGGCACCCTTAGTTCCTTAGCCATGGTTTCTTTGACCACCCCATCTCACCAAACAACAAAAGCACTTGGCAAGAGCAGCTGGGAAACCAACCCAGCCCAAGCTCTCTGGTATGTTGAAAGGATAGCTCAGTTGGTAGAGCACGAGACTCAAGGTCATGGGTTCGAGCCCCATGTTGGGCAAAAGATTCTTGCTTAGCAGGCGGTTGGACTAGAATCACCCTTGGGATCCCTTCCAACTCTCCAGTTCTATGATTCCATTATTCTACTGGCACCCAAAAATTCAGAGGTGGCCTTATAGTAATGAGTCACAGGATACTGGAGTAGGCAACAGCTGGCCTCCCCTGCTAAGAAGAGGGTGGGTGTGAAGAGGAAAACAGCAGTTTGGGTTGTCTGAGGGAGAGAGAAGGAAAGAAGAGAGGGAGAGTAGGCTGTGGTCTGGCTGAGGATCTGATCTGGGTTCACAGATCTGCTGCTTTTCAGGCGTGCCTCCTGTGGCCTCCACTTACGCTTTGCCTGCAAATTTGTAATTAAAGTGAGTATTTCAAAAGTGCCCCATGCCATTTGCAGTGCTCTAAATTGCATCCAAAGGAAGCCAAACTCAGACATTGCAGGAACTTCTCAACACTCTGGGAAGTAGAGAACGTCCCTCAGCTGAGAGTACGAAATGGGAAAAGTAAACATCCACAGCAGGAGCCTTCACCAACTTGGTGCCCTCCAGATGTTTTGGACTACAACTCCCATCAGCCCCGGATGGGACTGAGAGGCAGAAACAGAAGGAGGGCGCCAGGTTGCTGAAGGCTGGACCACTTTCAGCTCTCTGAATTGAAAGGATTGTCTGCGTTCAGCCATTGTGCTCTACATCTGCTGGGTAAAATGGAAACACTGGACAGCTTGTTACGATGGGGTGAAAGTACCAGCAATTTTAGAGCCACACCCATTGATAGCCTCTAAGAGATCTTTCCCAGCTATCACACAGGTTTTTTTTGTTTCTTTATAAAATAAATCACACTAAGGAGGGCGCTTGATCATGTCATTGTCCAGGGCTGTCCTTCCTAGTTAACCTCCAGACAGGCGCTCACACAGATTGCATTTTCTGGCCTCCAGGGGACTGTCAGGGTGGTTATTTTAGTCTGGATGTGCTTCCCTGGAAAACGTGCCACCCTCGCCTCTTCTCCAGCCTTATCTCCAGCCTCTCCAAGTGCCGGAAAGTGGCAGCCCCCCTTTTCAGCAGCCCTCAGCCAACACATCTGCAATGCGAGTCGCCACTGTTCTGCATCTACAATTCCTGGCTTCATCTTCGCTGGACCCCTCAGGGACTGAAACTGGGCCATAGTGGAGCTGCCTGTTGCTGGCACGCCAGAGACAAAAGAAAGGCAGGCGCTTGGGCAAGAGCGACCTGCTCTGACCAGGACTGGGGAGTTTGAACAGAAAAGGGAGAGCAAAGGGTGCTGTTCCTTGCTTGGTGCTGCCTCTGGGTCCAGCCAACCAGATCCGAGGGATGTCCTTCCCCTTGGCTGGATCCTGTATTTCTGCCTTGGCAAACACTCGTTTTCTCTCCCACCCGCGCCTTGAGCATCTGATTCATTTCAAATACCTGCAGCTTGCTTTTCCATTTCAAATAAAGTTCCCAAAATGAGTTGCAATAATTTGAGGAATCAAAGGAAGTCAAGCAGAATACCAACTCGCCAGATTGCAGTGCAATAAGAAGCACCACCAGTCAGACCTCCCTTTATACAATGTCAGGAGCTGGAATCAGGAGCAGGTCAGTAGTAAAACACCCAGTGTCAGTTAACTCTATTCAAAGAAAACAAAAACAGTGCAGGCCTAGTGATCACAGCAACTCTTCCTAGTAGGTCTTGCCCCAAGAAGGCAGTTGTGAGGACTGAAGGTCCCCGACTCCCCACCGCTCTCTAAGACTCTCTCCCAGGTCCTTCCCCAGCAACCTGAAGCTCCTCCATATCGTCTTTCTTTGCTCCACCCTCTTCATTCCTTTTTGTGTTCTGGGAGACAAGGTGGGAGGGGAGCTGGTCACAGCAGGAGGGGAAGACTTCCTGGCTTCTTCAGCAGCCTGCCTGACCTACTCTTGGCCCCCTTCCTCTCCAGCCTCTGCTTCTGCTTTTGAGTCAGAACTGCTCTCTGCCCCAGCCTCTTCTTGCTCATTGAACCCTGTTACATCTTCAGCTTCTGACACCTCCTCCTCCCAGTCTTCTCCCTCTGACCACTCATCGTTGTCCCACCACCAATCCCCTGGCTCTGAGCCTTGGGGTTCCCCTGGGGGTTCCCTTGAGGGTTCCCCACCATTCCTCTGCATCCAGCCAGTCCATGGCATAGGACCCCCAAGAAGCAGCCATCATGGGAAGGAGCTGGAGAAGGGCCTGTGCTGAAAATTCTGATTCTCAGACATGTTCAGATAGGAGAAGAGGACCTCCCAGCATTTGTTGTATGCAAAGGGAAGAGGAATTGTGTTCCCTCCAGAGGTGGTGGTGGTTGCCATCTGTGACACAATTTGCATGCTGCAGGTCTCAGATTGGGTGGGGAAGGAGACCCCCCAGGTTTCTCCTGCTCCAGGCAGCTGCTGTCTAGATTGCTGGCTACCCCACAGCAGAGGATCACAGGGGCTGGCAGGCTGCAAATCATGGGCAGCAAAGCCATGCCAGACTATGATTACTTCTGCATTCCAGGGTTCTCTCGCTATCTGGGCCAAGCATCAGCCACCTCCATCCTGGCTCTTGCCACCCCTTGCTTTCAGCTCTCAGTTTACCCTCCTTTAGCCCTGTAGTGTATCAGTCATGGACATTGTGATGTTCCCTCCCTGCATAGGCAAATAAATGTCCACTAGCTGTGCTAACAAAGCCCCCCCCCCCCCCGCTTTCCTAACCTTTGACCTTTGTCTGTGCAGTTTGTTGTCTTCTGGTGTCTGTTTGATGTTGTGTGTCATTGCAGGTCATTTGTTCTGGAAACCAGCTGGAATAATGTAGAAAAAACCCCAGTTGCTCCTAGGACATACCCTCTGACATTTCTCTGATGAAAATAGGGGCGTCCCATTCCATAATGATAATTCTACTATTTATACTCCACCCATCTGACTGGGTTGCCATTCTGGGCGGTTTGTAACATATATATATATAACATATATAAAGCACAGCTTTAACGTATATAGAAACATCATGTAAAAACTTCACTATTCAGGGCTGCTCAGATGCCTCAGGGGTCAGATAACTCCATACCCTCGAATATTTCTGCAATGAAAATAGGGACGTCTCAAGGAAAAGCAGGACATTCTGGGATCAAATCAGAAACCGAGACGGCGTCTGTAGATCTAGGACATCCCTGGGAAATAGGGGCACTTGGAGGGTCTGCTAGGATGCTCAGGACAATATGGGCCTAAGCTGAGAGCCAGCACCTGGACTTTGAAAATAATTAAAATTATGCAAGCATCCATTTTGTGTTTGCTTTTATAGGGATAGAGATTAATTCTCAAGCCCAGTTTGAATTTAGTTTCCAGTTGGGGGAGTAGCCCAGGTTCCAGTTGGCAGGGGGCTGGTTTCTTGAATAGATCGAGGGAATCTGCATTCCACAATGTTCCAATCAAGAGTTTGGGTAGAGCGGAATGCATTCTGGACTTAAAAGTTCTGTTCTTAGACTTCAAAGTGGCAACACTCTTAGGGGCATCTTGTGCTGGTACCACCAATTGTAGGATCATATAGAAACTTTTAAAAAGTGTTTATAAGCCCCTGAACGATGCATTTTCTGTTACTTGTTCCATGAAAATCAACAGGTGTCCCATCATTTATCTCATATCAAAGATCTACCTTATCTGAGATCTATTTTTATTCCAGCTGTTCATTCCTGGTTCATCACTAAATAAAATGAAACACAACAAATTGTGTGATCAAAATATGGGGGACTTGTTAGATAAACACTAAAACAGCATGCATGGTGTATTCTTAATGTGACTCCGATTATGTAGTGCAATTTACCATATATTGATTTCATAAAAGCTTGTCAAAAAAAACCCTCAAAGTGGTTTACAAAAAAGATAAAACAAAAAAATTATTGATAAGAAGGCATGGTCTCTTTCAATGTATTCTGCAGCTTCCATTCATTTCAATGGGGCTTGCAGGGAGAACACTCTTGTGGATTACACCCCATGGTAATTCATAGAAATTCCTCACCTCCGGCACCAAAATGTGCCAGGCCAGTACAAACTTGCAAAGACCTGTGCTTACTTCCTATTTGGAAGCCCTCAGCAGGGGCAGATTTAGGGGAGCACGACTGGTTTGCCCACACTGGGTGCTGAGCCGAAAGGGCGCCTCAGGGGGTGCTGCAACAATGACTTGGAACAGAAGGCGAGAGCCAGGGTGTGGGCAGAATTTGGGTGTCTCACAGGGCGTAGCTGAGATTTGAAAGCTCAAAATCTGCCACTGGCCTCAGGCACCTTATTATCTCACAGGCTCAGTTTCTCAGTCTGTAAAATGGAAGTTCTAACTATGGCTGGAAATAAGCGTGAGCTACAGTTTCACTGGAAACCACTCTAAACACACAGACACTGGGTTGTTGCACGGACAAACAGCATTTGTATTATTTAGCACGTTGCCATAGAAATAGGTAGCTATAGTTGTTAACTGAAACCCAAAAACCCAACATGTTTTGGATTAAGTCAGCCTTCTCCAACTGGCGCCCTCCAGATGGTCTGAATGCCAGCTGGGACTGGTGGAAGTCGAAGTCCAAAACATCAGGAGGCCGCTGGGTTGAAGGAAGGCTGGGCTGTGTTAGTGATGCGATCCTGCCTGAACTTCCCTTCCCACCCTTTGTTGTCTTTCCCCGTGTTGAATTTTGGATTGTAAGACTCTTGGGGCAGGGAGCTGTCCTCTTGAACCTTTCTAAATCATCAGGCACACTGAGAGCACCATAGAAATAGTCATAATGTGCTGGGCATAGAAAGGGCAGCTTGTGCATTATGTGAAAAAAAGCATGCACCCAGCCACCCTTTGCACAGCCCGCTCAACACCAGTTTAGCCAGTAAGCACTGGGGAATGAATAAACTGGGGAGCAAATCTGAGAATTTCACTTTCCCTCAGTTTATTATTTTTCCAGTCCTAAATTCAGTTTCTCCACATTTCCACATCAGCTAGCAAACTTTTTTTTTTTAGGTCCTGAAAATTCTTCAGCATTTTAACGTGCATTTTATACCTAAGACAATACATAACATTTCTTGTAAATGGCATAAAAGTTTTATTACAATCAAGTTATATATTTAACTTGCCAAATAAAGTCAAGCAATAATATTTTTGCAAAGCAATTTTCTCTAACACAATGTGCTTTCGTATGTCATTTTCACCAATGCATGCATTTATTTGCACACTACCCTAGTAGATACACATCATTTGGGCTGGAGAAATGCAAAATTTGGAGACGTGTGAATTTCAAAGGATGGCCTCATTTTGCTCTGCACACTTTTGGAAACTGCTAATTTGGTGACTTTCCCTTTAAATGAAAACAGACTTGAATGTGCCCCTCATCCCTCAATCTGGGACTGCTATGTTTTATAAGGCAGCACAACAGCTGAGTGGGCAGCACACCTCAACCTTCCTTGTTGAACTGCTGTGGCAGAAGATACCACTCACCAGTTGCTCTGCTTTGGGTCAACCCTGTTAGGAAGGAAAAGAGGGAGGGAGGCAGGCAGGAAGCTGCTCACACTTACTACAAGAATGAACGTTCCCAGGAATTCTGAGAGGGCTTCCTTCACCAAATGGTTCCTCAGGGCCAATTTTTCCTTGAAGCTCCTCTTCATGTTCTTGCTCATTTTGGCTCCTTCTTGCTTGGTGCTTCTGGAGCCAGGCAACAGAAGAACGGTAGTAGCTTTACAATCTTCTCTGCAATTGTCACTTTCTTCACCCCCCTTTCTTCTTAACTTTGGCACTCCTCCTCATATGTTGAAATACGAGCTGTGGAGTGCCGCAACACAGTCCTTGGAATCATCTGATCGTTCCAGAGCTTTACAGAGACCACTTCACATTCCCTGCTCGTTCATTGAGAGTTTCCATCATGTGCTTTTCCTTCCTGGTCCTGCAGGCACTATTTATATCAGGCCTGACTAGATAATAACACACGTCAGCTCACTTCCAGGAGCTAGCCCACACTTTCCTTCCTAATTCCCTCCTAATTTCTGGCTCTCTGGATTAATCATTACCTGCTAATCATGACCCCCCACCTCCAAAATAAACACCCATGCAATTAAACAAGCTGAGGGCAGGGTGGGGGACAGGACAGAAAGGCAGGCAAATGATCTCTTATATTACCTGCCAAATGCAAAAGCACTGCAGTAATTGGCTGGTTTTTAAAAAACAACAACACAACAACCCTCAAAAGATTTTTCCTTTGGATGCTTACCAGGAGGTGTGTCCATACTGAAAAGGTGAGAGTCAGATTGCTGCTTGCATTTGTGGAATGCATTCTGTCTCCACATGCCCAGGTGAACAGAGAGCATTTCAGGCAAGGCAAATCAATGGCATTGCTCTGGCATCCCACCAGATAACCTTCTGGGTGTTAAAAACACCAGGAGAGCCCTGCTGGATCATTCAGACTCCTCCTCGAGGCAGTTTACAAGTAAGCGAAGATAAAAATCACAACGGCCCAATTATTACAAAACAAATTATTACAAAAAAGAGGAACAAAGAGCAGCACTAGCTATCAACATATTAAGCAGGAACGGAATCAAAAACTTGCTTAAAAATGAAAGGTTTTCAATTCCCGGTAGAACAAAGATAGAGAAGAAGAGGACCCCTAGCCTCTTGAAGCAGGGAGTTCCACAGGCAGGGCCACCACAGAGAAAGCCCTGCCATGTGTCGCATCATGGGGGCAGGGGCAACAGCCAACCTTAAAGGATTTTGGGCAGAGTCACATAAGAGGAGACTGCCCTTCAAGGAGTATGGTCTCAAGCTTTTTTTAGACTTTAAAGGGTCTCAGTTCAAGTCGATCAACAGCCACTTCGGGTCTCAGATCACAGGTTCATTCCTGGTGGAGCCCTTTGATTTCTCTTTGTTCTCCACTTTGGTGGTGGATCAGAGGCTCCAAACTTGGGCCCCAGTCCCCAAGCAGTCTCTGTAGTTGCACCCAGGGCCTCAAGGCACAACTCCGCAATCAAATCTGATTTCCCACTGGTACCCTGGGAGTCCCCTCCATCTTTTTTTCTCTTGCTCCAAACTGAAAATCAAAGTCCTGCCACAAGTCTTTATCTGGGGGCCCCTTCTTCAAGAACAGCTGGCCCAGTCACCCAAGCTGACAGCCACGTACTCCCCTCTCTGCTTATTCCCAATCTCTCTCGTGCCCCTCATGGGCCCAAATAAAGGCAGGTAACACAGCATCTCTTGCTCCCCAAACTCACAGGACCCTGATGGCTGGGGCCTGCTTAAGGGCTGCACTCAGTATAGGGACTGGTGCCCATCCCACAAGGCCATCTTGGGGCACCCAGAAGGCAAAGTCTTGGGAGGGTTTAGTCTCACCCAGTTCAGCAGGCACTACCCTGGTGCATGCCCACGGATTGCCAACTTTCTCCACCGCTACTTCCTCAGGTACCAGCTGCTCTTCCTGCATGCTCATACATGCCTCCCATTACTTCTGCTGCCCCCCTTCTTCTGGCATTCTGCAGGCACTAGTTCCTCTTGCTCATGCATGCCCACCTCTTCCATCTCCTCCTGCACCGCTGGCACACATGGAGTGAAGAGGTCGATAAGCAGCAGCTCTTCACCTCCATCCTGCATTTTGCTCTACTCACTTTCCTCCTGCATCCCTTTTTCCCAAGGGGTTGAGACTGAGCAGAAGCAACTCCTCAGCTCCAACCAGCTTGCCTTTCTCCATAAGAGCCAACTCCTAGGGGCTGCGGGGACTTCAGCCCCCACAATAAAATATTTGAGGGGGCTGGGCCCCCCAAAGTTGATGCATTCAAATGGTGTGCATGCACTGTGTCATGTGATCAGTTATGTGGGGCAGGGCTTACCTGGGTCCCCTACAATGTTCTATTCAAGATGGCACCCCTGCCCTTCACGGAGGCGTCGTCTTCCCCCTTGCTTTCAGCTACTGACTGCCTCTGTTTGCAGTCCCAAGCCCCCTCTGCTGCCCATTCACATTCTGGATCTCTCTGCCCACTCCTTCCATCTAGGTGCCTTGCAGCAGGGTTCCTGGGTCACTTTCAACCCCCTGTAGCATCTCACACAGCATGGCCCTCACCTCGTGTGGAGTCACGCTTTCCTCCCCATGGAGACTTATCACCCACTTTGCCGCCAGGGAAAGAACCAGGGCAAAAAGAAAGAAAGAACAGCTACTTTCTGGCAGAATTTAATCAGGGTCTTGTATCAGGACCAACACAGGGCTTGGTCAAGGCGTTGCGCAAAGACTGCAGGAGTAGGTTCATCAAGGACATAACAGGAAAAGTATACGTCAACTTGCACATAATCTGATTTGGGGTTTTCTTAGAAACTTGGAATGAGCTATAAACCAGTTTCATCAGAAAACCAACTTCTGCTTTGCAAAATGCCTTGGTCAGAAGGGTGGGCGAAGCAGTTGTTGGCATCTGTCTGTCTCTGGAGACAATGGAGGAGTGCGGCTTTGGGAGTGAAGTAAAACTGTTGGAAGGTTGCAGCGCCTGCTGTGGCTGTAGAAACCGATACAGGAGAGGCATGTTTTGTTGCAGCTGGGGCAGATGGAGAAGTCTGATTGTGCTGCTGCAGTTGCACCATGGGGTTTCTTCTCTCTGCACTCCTTCCAGTGTCATTCCTCCTCTGGTCACTGCTATGAATGTACAACCTGACTGTCTGTCTCCAGGCGCTGTGGTCGTCTGCAAGGGAGTCCCACACGGGGTGGGGTGGGTTTGATGTTGCCAGCCTTCATGTCACATTTGCAGACATCTTTGTAACACAGAGTTGGAGAAGCAGTGTAGACACCAGAAGCTGTTTCCAGCCATCCTCCTCCCACCCACCCCCGCTTCCCCGGCTCTTTCAGATCTCATTTATTCACCACTCCCATACCCTCCAACATTTTTGCCCCCAAAATTGGGGCATCAAAAGGGGTGCACCTTCCAGTCCAGTGCTCTGGCACTTGTCAGCTGGGTTGCGCCAGAGCTCTGGTATGACCCTGCTGACCTGTGCCAGAATGAGCATGTTTTGCAAGACATTCAGGGCTTCTAATAGGGAAGCCCAGTTCTTTTGCACACTCTATGTTCAGCCCCGATCTGTGGAGAAGGCCCACCATGGGAGCTACCATCAGCAAACTGGGTACTGTAGCCCCATGGATAATTGACACTGAAGCTTCTTTCTGTGAGAGTCTTAAGTCCTTCTTGGCTAAACAAAGGGGAGGATATAGGAAGATCAGTAATCTAAAAGGTGGTGGTGGGGATGTCACACAGGGGACATTCCCAGCCCTATTTGGAGATGCCAGTGGGAACTGAGCCTGTGACCTTGTGTGGTCAAAGCATGGGCTCAACCACTTTGCTCTGATCTTTCTCCCAGTATCAGAAGAATAGGCAGCAAGTCTCTCAGCAGAGGCAGGTTTCTCAGTATGAGGAGAAGCACTGAGGTTGGGCCCAGGGCTTCATAGGGCCTGGTGTGCTGGGACTGACTGGTTGGGAGCAGCTGATGGGATGCTCTGGAAAGTTGGCACTGTAGCCTAGAAGCTCCAGTCTGCAGGGTTTGCAGAGGGAGTGAGGAGCATGGTAGAATAATAATAATAATAATAATAATAATAATAATTTATTGTTTATATCCCGCCCATCTGGCTGGGTTTCCCCAGGCACTCTGGGCGGCTTCCAACAAAATATTAAAAATACATTAAAACATCAGTCATTAAAATCTTCCCTAAACAGGGCTGCCTTCAGATGTCTTCTAAAAGTCAGAGAGTTGTTTATTTCCTTTCCTTTCCTATTGACATCTGATCGGAGTGTGTTCCACAGGGTGGGCACCACTACCAAGAAGGCCCTCTGCCTGGTTCCCTGTAACCTCACTTCTCGCAGCAAGGGAACCGCCAGAAGGCCCTCGGAGCTGGACCTCAGTGTCTGGGTAGAACGATAAGGGTGGAGATGCTCCTTCAGGTATACTGGGCCAAGGCTGTTTAGGGCTTTAAAGGTCAGCACCAACACTTTGAACTGTGCTCGTAAACGTACTGGGAGCCAATGTAGGTCTTTCAAGACCAGTGTTATGTGGTCTTGGCGGCCGCTCCCAGTCACCAGTCTAGACCAATGCATTTTTCTGCCTGGAGAAGTTTGTGTACACCCACACCCACCCACACCCACACCCTACATACAAAAGCTGACTGGAGCAGCAGCTGAATCTTGTTTCAGCGCTGGTGAAGGGCAGCGTCTTCTAACATGACTGAGGCAGGAGGCTACCTTAAGGGTGCAGGGCAGGTCACATGGCCTAGAGAGGAATGGCTAGGGATTCTACGAGGGGCCTTCTGTTATGACCTCCTCCAGAGGATTTTGCCTCACTCTGCCTAATGGTAGAGCCAGCCCCTATGTTCAACACAATCCTCAACATGTGAGTGTGTGTGTGCACACGTGCATGGACACAAACACACACCCTTTCTCTTTCACACAGTGTTATTTAATCCCTGGCAGGAAATGTGCCGTTGCTGCTGCCACAGCATGCCCCTGACAGTTCCCTTGCCCAGTTAGTCAATATGAGATTATAAAAAGGGCGTGAAATTCAGGCATTAACATTTACCCAGAGCAGTTTTTGTTTAGTTAGCTGTGGCATACCTGCTGGGGCTTGTGAGAGTCCCCTGGAGGCTTCAGGTGCAGCCTAAGTCCTGTGAGGCGTGCCCTTGCCCACCAGGCAGCAACATGCAGGATGCTTGACCATGTATTCAATAGGCAATGTGATCTAGCTGTCCTTTGTTCCAGGTCTCTTATTCAGGGCTGCAAGGTGTGGTGGAACAACACCCCATGTAAACCTATAATCTACATGGGGAAGTGCTGTAGCTTAATGGCAGAGCGTCCAACTCACATGCTGAAGGTCCCAGGCTCAATCCTTGGCATCTCCAGGTGGGGTTGAGAAGGTCTCCTGCCTGAAACACTGGAGAGCTGCTGCCAGTCAGTGTAGGAAATAGAAAGCGAGATGAACCATATTGTCTGACTCAATATAAGGCAGCTTCCTATGTATGTTTGTTCATTCCATCAGCCCAGCCTTTTAAATTTCAGATCCCTCCTTTCTTCCATCAAGAAAACGGTGATGTGCAGGGGGGCTTCCCATGCTGTCTCCACTCCAGATCTGCTTCTCTTCAACAAGGCAGCTGCATCCAGATGGCCCACAACAACATTTTGCTGCCTGGAGCAAAGGACAACATTTGGCTGCCTCAACCTCCCCACACCCCTCACTGGCGGAGAGTTGAATGTTACTCCCACCCTGGTGACAGAGCAGCATCCCCCACCTCATCAAGCTAGTTTAGGGGGACACTTCTACTCTAGGGTTACCAGACGTCCCCGGTTCCCAGGGATAGTCCCCAGATTTGCAAATCTGTCCCCAGGAAACGTGGCAGCGCCAGCCTCAGCAGCCCAGAGCCAGGCTGGTAGTGCAGTTGGCACTGGCTGGCTTCAGGAGCTGCTTGCTGCCATGGCGCCCGCCATTTTTCCTCTCTAGAAGTCTCCATTTGATGTGTATTGTGCACAACACATCACATAGGGACTTCTGGAAAGGAAAAACGGTGGGCGCCATGACCGTGAGCAGCTCCTGAAGCCAGCCAGAGCCAACTGCGCTACCAGGCTGGCTCCGGGGTGCTGACTGCTGCTGCTGCCGCCACTGCTGAAGGGGAACCAGGAGCGCCTGGTGGTACAGATCTCCTGCCCTCTGCCCCCTTTGTTTTGACTCAGGGGAGGCTCAGGTTGCAGGCAGGTGGCCGTTGTCCAGTTTTTTCAAAACTCTGGGCTTTGCACCTTTATACAATATGCATGTGTGCTTGGGCCCAGGGTCTTTTGCCTCACCATCCCCACTACTGACTCCCTGTTACTACTCAGCTTAAAAAAAAAAAAAGGGTCCCCAGATTCATTGGAAAAAAAATCTGGTAGCCATATTCTACTCACCTGCCCTCCAGCACCTCACTGCCCATCCCATGGCATCTGCTACCTGAAGCAGCTGCTTTACTCTACCTAATGGTTTCATTTCATTATAAACTGATTACTGTCTGAAAGATCTCAAGGCAATTTACAGTAGATAAACACATAAGGGTGTATCAGAGGTACACACAGTAGGGGCACAGGAGAGGGTCTTCTCGGTGGCTGCTCCCAGGCCTAGGAACTCCCTTCCTAGAGAACTTTGGTGGTTGTCTTTTCGCTGGCAGGCAAAGATCTTCTTGTTCCAACAGGCTTTTGGGAACTGACTGACTGTACAGAAAGGGCTTGCACTGTGATGTTTCTATTGTAACAATTGGTATGTTTTAATAGAGAGCAGGGACGCGGGTGGCGCTGTGGGTTAAACCACAGAGCCTAGGGCTTGCTGATTAGAAGGTCGGCGGTTCGAATCCCCGTGACGGGGTGAGCTTGGTCCCTGCTCCTGCCAACCTAGCAGTTCAAAAGCACCTCAAAGTGCAAGTAGATAAATAGGTACCGCTCTGGCGGGAAGGTAAACAGCGTTTTTGTGCACTGCTCTGGTTCGCCAGAAGCGGCTTAGTCATGCTGGCCACATGACCCAGAAGCTGTACACCGGCTCCCTCAGCCAATAAAGCGAGATGAGCACCGCAACCCCAGAGTCGGCCACGACTGGACCTAACGGTCAGGGGTCCCTTTACCTTTATAGAGAGTGAGTGTGGAGTCCCGTCCCCCCTTGGTGTCTAATTGTTTTTTAATGGTAGCTAATATCTGAAGGAGCAATGGACTCATGTCCCAGCCACACTGGTCACTGGCCATCTAATACTCCTCCCCATCCCTCACCTGAGAAGGGGCCAGATTGATACCAGAGCAAGCTCTCAGCCTGGAGGATGTTGAACTCCTTCCATCCACTCATTTGCAGCTACAGAGTCTGTTATGTACTGAAGTTCTCACCCTGGGCCAGCAGGGGGATACTGTAGATAGTTATGCAAATAAGGGATCAAAAATGATGTTCAGTGATTGGATAGTTTTAGAAAAGTGTTACAGTTACGTTGTATTGGAGCTCTATATGAGCAGGCTGGCTGAACCCTTCAGTTCAGTTCAGTTCTGTCCTGGCCTGTGAATAAACAAGAGCTGTTTGAAGAATCGCTGTGTTGTCTGATATGTTCACCCACAACTTAACAGAGTCACAACATGCCTGAGTCTGCACAACTGATAAAGGGACCTTCAACACTGGTAGCAGATGCAGATATCAACCTGACACTCAAGGTGGCTCTGAAGGTCACCATGAACTCAGTTGGTGGGGCCAGCCCTCATGCCCGGGACTCCTTGCCTTGGTTACTGTGTGTATTGGGCTTTGATACCAAGGGGGTAGATCCCTTTGTTTCAGAAAAACCTTCAGGGCCCTTTGGGGCCAGGTTTCTCACGATAAGGCAGCAGGAGTGGGTGGCAGCAGTTTGCATTTACTGGGTAATAAGCAGACTTATTTTTGGATTAGGGAATGTCTCTGGGTGAGGCCTTTACAGGAGGCAAAATCTTAGAGGGAGAGGTCGTGGCAAGTACCCAAAAGGCTATCCAAGGCAATAATGATTCCCCTTCTGTGTAACATTTTATGAGCTCCTGGGAATCACCCAGTGTCACAAAGGGAGATGCAGGCAAGGTACACAGGGAGGAGTGAGAGAGTCATAATCCTTTAAGACCGTAATTACCCTTTTATGCTGGGCCTGTTTCCTTTTACTGCTGCTTTTCTTCTTAGGGCTGCTAACTTAAATAAAGGAAAGGTGATTTATGGTCACTGCGCAGTGTGTTAAAGGGCGTGGGGATCTTCCTGTGGCCTTGCATGCTGGGAGTGCTATTTAAGCCATATTCTCTAAGGACCACAGGACCCAAGCATCTGACCATTCAGATTCTGTTTTTATCATCAGCGTCCAGGATAAGGACCTGAAAACCAGACTCAAGCAATGCCAACTTTTGCCCTGAACCCAGAGCTCCTCCTTGGGCTCTGGGTTCCCATCCTGCTCAGCTCTCAGATGCCAGATTATTCCAGGCTTGGCTCTGAGGGACTCCAGGGCTAGGACCTCCTTTGCCTCCAAGTCCACCACCTGACTTTGACATCAAGTGCTGGCAACATCATTTCATGCTGCCTCAGATTTCATGCCGTCCTACTCTTTGGGGTCATCCCCCGTTGGAGACTCTGGTCTTCCTCCTTAACCCGCTGCTACTGTTTCTCCTCCAGGCCTGGAAAACTGAGCTTGGGGGTAACATCTAGGCTGCAGTACCAGCCAGTGTGCACATTTCATCAGCTGAGCTCCCCCTTGCACCAGGCTCTATCCTGACCCATCAGGCCCTGTAACAAAACCTGCTGCTAGGACTGGTCAACTTGGTGCTCTCTTGATGTTGCTGGACTCCAGCTCCTGCCAACCCTGGCTGGTGAACATGCTGGCTGAGGCTGGTGAGAGCTGGAGCTGAACAACATCCACAAGGCACCTTGTTGGCTACCCTGCCCTACATGTGCCAAGCCAGCTTTGGAGGCTCAGCGCGCTATCCTGCCCACACGTGAGACCAGACTGCTGGGCTCCACCAGGCAGACGGCCTTCTTGGTGGCGCTGGGACTTAGATCTTCCTCTCTTGGTGACAGTCTGGCCGGTTCCTTCCTTCCCAGTCCGAGACAGCTGGTAAAGCTTTTGCTAATTCCGGCCAGCTTTTAAGGCAGTGGTTCTCAGACCTTTTTCTCTAAGCCACACTTTCAGAATAAAAATTCTTTGCGCCACACCGCATTTTTATTGATAAGAAATACAATGGAAAACAAAGAGACAACTCCTAGCCGTGCTTGTTTTATAACACAGAACACAACTACTTTATGATATGATCATGGGACATCCAGACAGTATAAAACAAAGAACATGAGCCATTTAAAAAAACGAATCATTCCCAAAATGTAATTATAAACATATGTACCATAAGTATGTATGCGAACTTAATGAGAGGTGTGAGCTTGCCAGGTAATCTCGTTTAGATTATGTCTAATTTGAGACAAACGTACTCTCATTGCCTCATCAGCACAAAGAAGCCTTTCTCTTTTCTGATCTCCCATATTTGCCAGAGTTGGAAATCCCCGCTCACAACAATATGTCGTGAAGAACTAAAGCATAGCCAATGCTGTTGAAGAGAAGTGTGGGTACTTCTTTCTGGTTGTATATTGTTGTATATCCAAAGAGTCCAGTGCCGTGCAGTAAACGACACTGAAATGCTTAAATGCTTCTTTGATGGTCTTTGACTCTTCCTGTCATACTTGCCACACTCTCCTGCCACACCAATTTGGGGCACCACAGCCTTTCAGAACCACTGTTTTAAGGTATGTTTGGACTACATCTCCCACCAGCCCCAGCCAGCACCAATTAAGGCAAACGATAATGCTTGAGCTATTGGGCTTTCTGTACAGTCTCAGCATCTTGACCCTGTGCAAGGACAGTTTCTGCCTGCGCTCCTGGGCTCAATGGCCAGTCCACTCTGGACCTTGCCCTCTGCTTGATGTTGACTGTGTGTTGCAGCCTTCTGGGACACTGGGATGGGCTGTCTGACAGGTCCGTCATGCTCCTTGTCTGGTGTCTAAACCTTGCCAAGGCCAGACAGAGCCCACCCCTCCTGCTGACCGCTATTGTTTGCACCTCCAGGCAAGGATTTGGGTCCAGGTGTTTGCTGACCTCAACCCTTCCCTCCTTTCCAGAGGTGAGGGAGGTGTGTGTGTGTGTGTGTGTGTGTGTGTAAAAGAAGGACTGCTCCCGGATTAATTCCAGAGCCCTTTTCATCGCCAGCAGAAAAATCTCCATCCCCTTAACCCAGGCTCCATATTCATTAAGCCATAATGACTCTATTAATTGAATATGTAAGTTTGCTTAATTAGACACAAGACTTATTTCTTCAGTTTAAAGGGTAAAAATAAAAAATTTAAGCAGGCGGA